GACGATAACAACGACAATAACGAGCCATTTCTAGCGTGATATGATCTGATTTGTCTATACGTTTCCTTCTTCTTTGCCTGAGGTTGATGCCGCCACGATTTACGTCTTCGTCTACGCCCGGCCTTCGCCTATCCCATCCTCGCAGAGCAATCCTCGAATAATAATATCAATCAAAACAATCCCTGCGACTTGGTTCCCACAATAAACTGGCAAAGCTTTTTGCCAGTCAACAGCACAGTTGGATATGAACCATTCAGCCATGGTCCCCGATATTGGTATGTATCTGTCTTGTAGCATTAGTCGGGACTTGGTTCAATGCAGTGGTGTTTGTTCGTCACAGACGGCTGGGCCGGAATCGCTATTATGTCTTATTAATTAATACCGTTTAGTGCGACATCCTTCCCAAGGCTCCAATTCCCTCCCACAGAACTCACAACCGCGATCACGGACCCGCCAGAGCACAATAGAACCCGTGCGATCACGTTCCAATACCTCTGCTTCCCGGAATAGTCGGCCATCAAGATCGCGCGGTTCGACCGCGAGCATCCATTCCACTACAACCCAATATAACCCAGACCAAAATGTCGCTGAGGGATATCAACCGTATATTCACCCAGAGGCCGGCCCGAACCAGCATATATATCATTCGAACCCAGAGGAGATGATCATCCGCTTTGGTGACCAGCTGGCTAATTCGCATTCCGGTATTGTTATTGACCCTGCGCTGCAAGAACGCCCAGACAATATTGCCGGACCCGGAACTGACATTCGCTTTCAAGGCCACGAGGTCCATACTCACAGAATGCCAATGCATGGACTTCCAATAGAGTTACCCCCTACCGGCCTCCCAGGTGACGTTCACACTGGCCACTATGCCCAAATGTATGATGGCGTCGAGAACCAGATCCCAGATCACTTGATGGGCGATAACGAAGGCTCCGAACCCGGACCCAGGAAACGAAGAGGCACAACTACAACGATAGCCAATGATAATGAACTACGTCGATTGCTGCGTCAATACGATGGATATTCTCTGCGCCAGATGGCTGCTGAAGTACAGAAACATGACGGCACGGGAGGAAAGTCGGAGAAGGTTAAGCAGGTTTTTGCGATGATATGGTAAACCAAGGATGAAAACAGTTCTTTGTATGCTTGGCTGACTTCAACCCTAGGTTGAGAGAAAACTGCCAGAAAAATTCTGGATCAGTTCGACGCGACCGCGTATATTGTTCCTATGCGGAGAAATGCGGCAGTGAGAGGGTTTCAGTCCTGAATCCAGCCTCCTTTGGCAAGCTTGTCCGCATTATTTTTCCAAATGTCCAAACTCGACGGCTTGGGGTCCGCGGCGAATCCAAATATCATTATGTCGACTTGTCCATTCGAGAACCTGAACCAAAGCCCCTGGCAGAAATTTCAGAGAAGAATGTCGAGTCTGCTCCTTCTCATCAAAGGGTGCCCAGCAAATCCCAACAAAGGTACGAATCAATGCCCCTTGAATTTTCTTCCTCTCTTCCTAACATGCTGTTTCAGTACTTCACAACAACCGAACTCGAGTACAAATGGAACTTCATCAAGAAGAAAAACTTCTCCGACACCCAATGTTCAGCATCCTTCGGCACCAGATTACTTATGCGATCATTCGCAGCCGAAAGATTTGAGTATGATGGCAACAGTAGACGCCTCTCTCATCGAAACTCAACGACTGATGGATCAACTGCTTCAATTCAGCCGTCCAAATGAATCCCTACCGATCGACAATGATTCCCTTCAGCTTCCCAACATTCATGGTTACCTGCCAGCGCACACAGACAGCGAAAGCGCCGATGCGCTTGCGGCCCTATACCGCTCACATTGTATATCAGTCATCGATAGCTTTCGGTATTGCAAAGAGAAAAACCTCTTCCGCCACTTCGCCTCTTTCCAAGGCACACTCACCGTTCCTGTCCACAAGCTCTTAAATCATCCGGGCGTTGCACCTTGGATTAAAGAGTGTGACTGGCTGATGTATCAGAAGATGATTGCTTTTGTTGCCCCTTTAACCACCCAGGTTGTTCCAGATCCTGTGCTGAATGCTTTCGGGTCTATTTCTAGAGGTCTGGTCGCCCATATAAAAGATACATTGAAATCTCATCCCAACCACGTGTCCCAAGCTCGACTTAGCCCTGCACGGATATTTTGTCGCCTCCTGAAGCGCATGTTAGATGTCAATCAATCTGCGATTGCTGCTTCTGCCTGGCTCTGTCATGCTGAAAATCGAACGAAAATGTGGGAAGACTTCGTTTCATATATTGACCCAATGGACCTTGTTGCCAAGGCAAAAATTCCAAACTGCGCTATTGAAGGGGTTTTGAACATGATGAAAGACCAAATAAAGTTTCTAATTGCCCCTGACGATGGCAAATCTCCCGACGTGCAGCTCTATGATGAGGACCTTGGCTACCAAAAATTCTCCTATTCGTCTACGGACACCTCAGGATCTGCCCCATTTCCCGATCGATGGATCGCTTTCATTTTGAACCTCCCTGTTCTATTCCCCCATCACAAAGCCCAGTGCATTATCGACAGAGCAGACGCGCTATGGACGCTATTGCTCCATCGACTCACACTTGGTGGCGCGCAAAGCTTCAGTGCGTGGTGGATGACCAAGGTGTTCTTTTTGGAAATGATGTTGTGGCAAGCGGAAAAGGGAGGGTTTATGGGTTGCACCGCAAAATCATTAGAAGAATCTTTGCTTACCCAAAATGTTGCCCAAGGGACAGTTGAGCCATGCCCGGTACAATCTACATCAGCTAATTCTGACACACATTCGTCGCGCGACCCTAGGTCACAGGAATCCCAATCCCAACCGCAATCGCAGCTCCCAAGTATCAACCCGATAGTTCAGGCTTCGTCCCCTCAATACCTCCAAGATGGTAGCGGTAGCGCTTCGATGTCCACAATCTCCGGCAATGAAAAGACAGTTGCCGCTACGAATGCCAATACATCGCCCACTAATCGAACCCTGGCCCATGACGACAGCGCCATTGACTTGGAGGATGACTCCGGACTTCTCACAGTCAGTAAATACGGAGACATGATGGCATCTGACCCTGCGGATGCAGAAGGTCAGGTTATTGTTGTATAGAATCCCGACTTTATTCCTGCATATTATTGTAACTTACGATACTGGTTTCAACGACGTTTTGGTTTTCTTCGAAGTACATATTAACATCCACATCCAGGGACAGGACATGTGGGATTCCTTGCATTTCTTTCTTCCCTTTTTTTTTTTTTTTTTTTTTTTTTTTTTTTTTTTTTTTTTTTTGCCTTCTATATTCTTGCTTGGAGTTTTTGTCATTGCCGTGCTTTTTGATTTTGGATTTATCGAAAAGGATGCCTTTGGAAAATCAAATCAAGACAAGACTTATCACGAAGTGGAACCAATACTATTATTCGGCATATATACGGCCAGCCGAAATTTTTTTGATGGCGGATGGACGCGATTATATCAACATGCAACCATATCGCTTCATCCGAGATTGGTCTTACCCTGTCTATAAGTCACGATTGTCCAACAATACTTTTCTAGTCAACCAACTGGAATGCACACCCAACCTTCCTTTTTCAATCAGACCTTCTCACACCGATGGTTTCGGGGGTTTCACTTCGACGTAAATTCATGTTTCGTTTCTGGTCTCTCTCCGTCTCAAGCGGGCTTTTTTTCTCATGTTTGTTCTGAATTACGACCGCTTGATATCCACTCGTTTTACTGTTTCTCCTCCTGGGTTCTGGTGTTTCTGTTTTGCAGTTTTCAGTTTTCCAGCACTATGTTCCTCGAGTGGTACACGTTTCTACAAGCGCTCTATCCGTCTCACCTTGGGAACTGAGCAATTTCTTTGGGTAGCCCAGCCACAGGCTGGTGGATGGAATTGGCTGTGATTGCTGTTCGAGGCGTGATCATGCTGGAAACCGACAAATCAAATGAGGTCGATAGTTTCGAAAGCGGAACGGACCCATTGGAAGTTCCAGAATCAGGAAAAGGTTGCCAGGGACTGGTGTTATAGGCATGTATCGTCTACCTCCTACCTGGAAACCTAAGCCAATTAATTCCTCTCCGCTTCACTCAGGCTCTTCTCACCTTCCCCTTCCCCAGCCTCCTCCCGTTTACGCCTTCCGCTTGGCAATGCGAAATGTCCTTGTCCCCGTTTGATATCTTTGTCGCATTTGCCTCATGCTGATGAAATGAATGTTTATGTATCAGCTCTTGATTTCTTTTCTCCTGAATTTAGTTCTGTGATATTTTCCCTGGTCTTCTTGTTCGATGTTTGATTGTTATTTATTGCTCTTTTGTTTTCTTGTCCCTTCTTGTGTTTTACTGCTGTTTTATGTTGCGTTTGTTGTTATCAGTTGTCTCGCCTGTTCCTGCATATAGTACATTGTGCATAAGCCATGCCTGTGGGAGGGAGAAAGGGGGTATGCATATACCTCATGTTCCCTTGTCAGAGTAACTATTGTAACTTTTATTATTCGTATTTGCTTTGCTTATTTTAGTTTCAAAGGATGGGGTTTTGTTTCGCCAGTCTGTTTTCTTGATGTTGTGTGTATGGGATTGGCTTTTTCTTTTCTTTTTTTCCCTCGTTCTCAGTGTGGGGTTGGCTGTTTTTCGCTATTGGCTTTTTTATTTTCTATGATGCCACTTCTTTGTGTTTTTTTCCAGAAAGGGGGAGAACGGGAGACAAAAAAAGGTATTTCATTTTTGTGCGTTGACTTTGTTTCAGGCCTCTCTGTTGGTTGTAAATGGCAATGGATGCATGGGTCCTTAAATGGAGTTCAATCATGACGTTGATGAGGGTGTTTTGTGCTCTGTTTTGTTCTGATCTGAGCTGGTTTGGGAGCTTTTTTTCTGCCTGTTATCTGTGTTGGTGCTGTATGCCATGGCTGTTAATTTACCTGCTCAGAGTATGGATACTATCAGTCCACCTCAGTTTGAGTTGAATGGATATGAGATGTACATACGTATGTATGTGTATAAATGATATAATGTCTATTTTTCAGTTTTTTATTCAATTGAATTCTTTAATTTTACAATGAGAGCCTATGCTATATTACATACATATGCTGTAACCGTGCCAAGCGCACTCACTCCTCACTAATGGTAGTGAGTCGCGTTTGGCACGGTTAATCATTATCTCACAAGATAGGGGTAAAAACAGTGAAAAGCAGTTTATATCATCTGTTCTCCTTGTTCGTAGATTCAGGTTCCATTCTCCGCAATCTTCATGTTAGTCATGATCTACTCTGCTCACCTAACACAGGACTCACTTCACTCCCTCTTCTCCCTGGCCCGTAAATCTCGTCTCCCACCCCCACTCCCAAGCCCGCCCTCCTTCACCACCCGCCCCAAGCTCCGTAACACCCACAAAAACCCAAAAACAACAACAACCAACGTCACCATCTCAATACTGCGCACATTATCCAACAGACCACCATCATTACCATCATCAATTCTCAAAACCGGCACCTGGATCTTCTCAACCATCATACCCCTTTCCGCACCCAGATGCACATGCGCATCCTCATCTGTCGAAGTAGCTGTGTCAGGATGCAGCTGGTAAAACAGCGTCCCGGGCGCAAACAACCCATCCCAGCCCAGCCTTACCCTGTCAAACGGGTTAATCGCCATCATCTTCCCCCTTCCATCCGCCGCTGACTCCTCCCGTTCTTCATCTTCAGGCGTGCACGCCCAGAAGATGACGGGCCATGGGACGCTGATGTTCCTGTAGCCGCTGGGGGAAGGGTGGAGGTAGCGGAGGTGTAAGGGGATGGTGACCTGCCAGTCGTTGTCGTTGTCATCGTTTCTGTTTCCGTGTGTAGATTTATGGGTATTTGAAGATGGTGGTGTGGCGAGCTCGAGAAGTAAACTTGACCCCCAGCGCTCAGTTACCCAGTCTGGGGCTTCGAGGTCCGTTTCGCCTGCGATGGCGCGGAGAGAGAGGAGGTTGTGTGATTGGAGGAAGAGCGGGTCAGTGGTGGATAGCTGGTATTTATCGGCGAAGACGGAGGAGGGGAGGGTAAGGTAGGTGTGTAAGCCGCATTTGGAGTCTGGGGGTGCTCGTGGGGGTGTGGCTGTGAGGGCTGAGCGTGTGATTGAGAGCTGGAGGGTTGGGTGAAGGCCTGTCGGGTGGCGGAAGGTGGTGGTGTATTTTGAGGAATTGGGGAGGGGGTGATGACGGGATGGGAAGGAGAAGAGTGTTGGCTCTGGTCAAAAATAAGTTAGTTAGAGCGGGAGGAGGACGTTGGGTGGGATATATATGCACGTACTTAATTTCTTATCCTCTCCTACGACGGCTAGGAAACCGCCCATGGAGAGTTCTTCGGGTAGTCTTGCCCGCTCCATTGCCAATATCCCCACCTCTACTTTATCTGTGCTCTTCTTGCGTTTGCGTATTGTTTCTGTCCATCCATCTCTCTGTGGAGGTTTGGACCAGTAGCCCGCCGTCGTAAGAGTGTGCGAAACGCTGTCATAGTCGATATCCACCGAATCCGCAGAAAGAAGCGAGGCTACATCCGATTCGCAGGTGATTTTCTGTTCATCCCCAAGCCGTGGGCAGATTTTGTGCTGAATGTACTTGACGAACTCGTCAAGGGAGGGAAGTAGCTGGTGGAATTGGAGAGGGGGATTCGAGATAAATGTTCTAGATAGTATTGGCGGCGATATAAACGATGTCTGGTATTATCACGATTTGATCAGAAACAAGTCTTTCCATGGTTCGGGCAAATTGCAAGTGCATTTACCTCTGGAAGATAGCATTTCAACTTATCATCGAACACCTTGAGTAGGAGAGGGCATAGGCGTGTGCTGTTGGGGTTTCAATTCCGTATATAATAAATAAGCATGTATGCCACGGTCACAATCACTTTCACGATCAAAAATGGTAACACGTACGCAGGACGGTCCTGGTCAATCGGCGTGTAGAAAACATGCAAGCCTGGCGATACTCTGCTCGCGAACGGTGGGACGGCATCGTAAACATATTGCGACGACCAGCGGATATGTAGTTCATGACATTGCTTCAGGACTTGCCAGACCTATAGGAGTGGAAGAACAGGTGAGCAAATTATGAAAGGACCATTTTCGTTTCTTTTACTTAAAATTGGCAAACAAAGCGATTCTCGCGTTTACAGCAATCTCAGTTATACAGGAGGGAGGTTCATTTTTCAAAGCTTACCTCCTGGGGAAGCTCGTCAACGGCAAATGTAACTCGTTCCTGGCGCGCTGCGTCTAGGGATTGGACAGAGAGAGAGTCATCCTTCACAGTGATCTGCTCCGGATTGAATTCCCCATCAGCTGCATGAACGAAGGTAATTCTCTTTTTCATTTTTTCATCGTCGAGGGATGGATTTGGCTGGGGTTTGATGTCTGGCTAGCACACAGTTGTTTGTTTAGTTGTAGTTGGCTGTTGGCTGTGACGTTGCTTGAGCTTGGAGGTTATGGTGGTTGCTTGTCCTAATTGGGAATGGCGCATCATCTGGAGCTCTGATGTAGTTACATCATCGCAAGGTCCGACACAACAATCACTAAATGCAGAAATGGTGTTAATAAATATTAAATATGAATTGGAAAATCTTTGTATTTTTTGGCTATGATTTGGTTACAAGAAATGCTTGTTTATTTTCACAGTTGTTCAGGCAAACATAACAGAATAGGGAGGGAACTAAAAATAAACAAAGGTGAGATTTACAATGCATCAAAGCAGAAATCTGTGATAATTTTTCCCACCAAAAAAAAAAAAAGTAATATGTAAGGGATAATAATTGAGAGAAGAATGGGGGGAAGGCTTAGAAGGGAAAATCATAAGAAAGGGCTAGCCGAGCACGAAAATAACCGCAGCCAGAGTAAGGTGAAAAAGAAACACTCAGTCAAATATTAACAGGGAAAAGAAATCCCTTTTAAAAGGAAAAACAAAGAACGCCAAATGCTTCCACCAATGCCTCATTGCTTCCAAAAGGAAAAAATAAAAATAAAAATAAAAAATAAAAAATCATAAGGCCCCTCCGTACACCCCAAGGCCGAGAAAAGCCAGGGGGGGATACAGTGGGGGACGCGGAAGCAAGTTATAGAATCTCCTTCAACTTCGACTTCTGCGCTGCCGTCAACGTCGTCGGGAACTTAACTTGGACTTTCACAATCAAATCCCCCCGCTGGCCGGGGAATTTCGACTTCGGCATGCCGAGGGATGGGAATTTCTCCTCGAAGCCTGGTTGTGTCGGCCCCGCCCCAGATACTCGAAGTTGTTTGCCGTCTATGGTGGTTACGGTGCGGTTCCATCCTGTTAGAGCTTCTTTGAGGGGGATGTCGATAGTTGTGATTAGATCGTCGCCGTCACGTTTGAAGGTTGGGTGCTCTTTCTGTTTGATGGAGATGTGTGTTAGTGGATAAATCGCTTGTGCCTATGTATATATAGAAGACTTACCTCAGTAATAATAAAATGAAGGTCCTGTGTGCCTCCTTCCTCCTGATCCCCCACCCCAGCATACTTAATCTTACTCCCCGCCTTCAATCCAGGCTTGACATCAAACTCCAAAATCTTATCCTCCACACTTCTCTTCCCCGTCCGCTCATTAAAAGTCTTCCTCTTAATCTTCATCCGCTTATGCACGCCCGTAAACAATTCCTCCAGTGAAAGCGGCAAAGGCCGTTCCACCGTCGTAACCTCTGGCGTGGGCGCCCTCCGCGCCCCATTCGCAGCACCTTTACGCCGTGCGCCAGCTCCCCTCGCACCACCTAAGCCGCCCAAGATCGAAAACAGGTCGTCGTCCTCCATCTCCGCGCCACCCGAGCGGGCAAAGTTCGAGAAGATATCCTCCGGGTTGCTGAAGTGGAATCCACCGGCGCCGCCGCCTGTGGAGAAGTGGAATGTTCGCGTACCACCACCGCCGGGCATGCCTCCAAAGCCCGCGAAACCACCGGGCATTCCACCAGCTCCGAAGGGCATTCCGCCCGGCCCGCCAGCGCCAGGAGGAGGCTCTGCGGTACCCCCGCGCAGTAGGAATTCAAGGCCATATTGGTCGTATACTTTTCGTTTTTCGGGGTCGGACAGGACTTCGTAGGCTTGGGATACCTCTGTATGATAATAAATTTGTTTCAGCCTGTATTTCGACTTCAAGAAATCATTTTGCGCAGAACTTGGTTCGCCCCGTTGCCTTGCTAAAAAAAAAAAGAGAAAAGAAAAGAAAAGAAAAAAAAAAAAAAGAAAAGAAAATACCTTTAAATTTCTCTACAGCATCTGGGTTATTCTTATTCTTATCCGGGTGGAATTTCAGTGCTGCTTTCCTGTTGTTGGATTTTATCTAACGTCAGCAGAGGTGGAACCTTCAAAATTCAAAACATACTGAACAGTTGAAATTAAATAAATAAAAATATATAAAACTCCGGAGTATAGCCCAAAAAAGATTCCAGGAAATATTATACTCTATGTGATAGGTGACGGGAGGAAACGAAAAGACATACTTATAGGCCCTTTTAATCTCATCTTGAGTAGCGGTTGGGGAGATATTCAGTGAGTCATATAGTTTCGTTTCCGCAACCATGTTTGTTAAGCTGAGTCAACTAATTGAGGAAAGAAAGAGTGTCGGCTAGAGGAGAGAGGATATGAGAAAGAAGAATAGGTGTGTTAATGTTTTGAATAGACGGATCGGATCGGGAGAGGAGAGGAACGATCGATTGGAGGGGATTTCCTGGTTGAGGACTACTGGTTATATGGTGTAAGCAGATTGGCTTTTCTTTTGGCGGAGGGGTGCAATTTACGCATGCAAGTATTGGATATAGACGGGAACTGCGAGCCAGGGAAGGATCAAAGAATCCAAGAGGCAAATGGGAGTTCTCTTGCTTACCCTTACACCGCTATGCTATGTCTCGAATCAAAGTAAGAGATGAAGAGATAGTAGGTAGGAAGGGTGGTGTAGTGTGTGTCTGTGGATGTGTGTGGATGTATCAAATGGGCACAGATATGGGTCATGCAAGCACGATGGTTATTATTATTGTAGTCGTTTATATTGTCGTGGTGAGGTGATTGATGCTGGGGATTGAAGTTGGTAGCTGTGGTAGTAGTTGTGGTTGTACTCCGTATTATTTTTCAGAATTGGCAACTCATCTAGCTAGCATGGCGGCAGGTTATGTAGTTGAATCGTTTTTTGGGGGAAATCAGTGACGTGACGTTGTTCGAATCTTGGGGCTTGTTGTCCCGCTCAGCCTTGGCTTGGTCTCCGCCACGGAATAGTTATTATTATTGGATTGCAAGTTGATACTTGGATACGGAGTAAGTCATCGCTATGATAGCATAGCAGCAGCAACACGCAAACCGGTTGCATCATGGAGCAACTCAATTCAATAGAAGCTTCGAGAAGCTTCCATCGCGGACCAGGTTGGGGTTACATAGCTCTGCGGCGATTCCGAGGCTGATAGCTAATCTCCTCTTTGGGTCAGGCAGGGTCTTTATTATATTGAAAAGGTATCTCTCTAATAGTAAAGGATATTCCCCTTGATAATTGGTTGGTCAGTGGTATTTTTTTGAATCTGAACAGCGTTGTCTTTGCTCTGATGTTTCTGCATCCAAACCCCAGGTCAAGTGGGGGATCCAGCCCTAATCAGAAGCCCTAATTGGCCCGATTCGGAGGCATCCGGTTATATTAGTTAAAGAAACCGAGGGGCAGTATCGAAGACTTGGTACAGGATGATGTAAATACTACTTCTACTACTATTACTGTTATGGCTGTCACTTCAGGAACAGTCTATCTCTGCATTAGGGAGTCCTCCGTACATGCTTTTCCTCTCACTTTGTAGCTATCGACACAACGTCCTCATCCGCAACGACATGCCCCAGCCCCACCCGCTGTGGGACATGTCGGGCACTGGCCCCCCAAACCAAAGCATACTTAAAGTTATCCTTCAGCGTCCGATGGATCTGATCGCACACGTCTTCAATGGTAGAATTGTTGCGCACAATTAATGCCTCTGAAAAGTCGGGATCGTCGCCCTTTCTGTTGCAATTGTCAGCATAGTTACCAATTGAATTCCCAAGGCACCCACCACATCACGCGTAGTTATGGACAGGGCGAAAAGAGAACTTACCGCTTGGTATACACCCGCATAAGCTGCAACTCCTGCCAGCACCGATCAATCACATCCTGAATACCCAGATCCAGTTCGCAGCTCATAACGCACGTGTGGGGCTCACGGGCAAGTTTGTCGAGGAAATCCAGGCTGACGCTGTCTATTTTGTTATAGACGTAAAGGCTGAGAGCCGAGAAAAAGTATGTTAGTTTGTGACAGATGACACGGTTTTTGTAAACGAACTCAAGGGATGGAAAAATACCATTTAATATATTTCCTGTGGTCCTTCATAATCACGTCGATAAAGTCATCAACCGTAGCTAAGAGAGATACTGTCAATTTCCCTCGCCTCTAGGATAGGATAACTAGGAGCGGAATATAGCAAAGAAAGCAATTCCATAACCTGGAAAACGTACCATTTTCATCGCGGACTAAAACTTCGCAATTCAAAATCTTGTAGTCTCGTAAAATATTATAGAGCATTTTCTCATCCAGATTTTTGGGCGGTGACTGGAATGTGATTTTCATCCCGCCTGCCTTTTTCACTTTCAGGTAAATATTTCTGTCAACGAATAATGTATATTCACCTGTATTAGCATAGTTTTAAACAAAGCAAAGTAGAGGTACCGCGTTTAAATGCAATAGTAACTCACGGGGGGTCCCGATTTAACCGGATCCCAACTGCCTCTAATTCAGCTTCCAGAAGCGCCCGCTGTTCGGCACGTTTCGTAGCGTCAAGAATCATCATTATTAGATCGCTAGTCTAAGAGTCGAGGTTTTATTAGATATCCAGGGTTCGTATATTCAAGGAAGAACCAAAACAAAATAGAATAACATAAAAAAGAAATCCAAGAAAAATGACCAGGAGGAAAAACATACCTTAGCAGCAGATATGACTTGCCTCCCTCTCCCCTTACCCTCGGCAGCACCTTCAATAATACCAGGCAGATCAAGGACCTGGATCTCGGCGCCGCCGTACTCCAAAACTCCAGGAATCGCCGTGAGCGTCGTGAAGGAGTATGCCGCAACCTCACTCTTCGTCTTCGTAATCTTTGATAAAAAAGTCGACTTGCCCACAGATGGGAATCCCACTAGGGCTATTCGAGCATCACCACTCTTGCTCACATCGAAACCCGAGCCACCGCCAGATCCCGCTCCACCTGTAGGCTCGAGCAGCTGTGCTCGTAATCGTGCAAGCTTTCTGGGGAGACGGAGTTAGTCATATGTATGGCTACACTGTTTTGGGAACTTCTGCGGTGGATGGAATGCAGACAAAGCCGCCTTCCTGTCTCTAGAATAGGAGGAACAAGCAATTACAACCGGCTTAAACAGACAACCTTGATGCTCGTTGTCCAGGCCAAGGTGTAGTAACAGGGTATTTTATCTCGAGAGGCGGTTTTCACATGTGGAATAACACTTTCCTCTGCAAATAAATCAATTCAACGGATAGGTACAATATTCTATACATAGCACATACCCTTTTAGCAGACCTAGATGGTATTCTGAAATTTGATTTTGGCCCATTAATATACTGCTAACACGCAGGCCATTAAATTGAATAGTTCCACAAACCCGTTGCCTTATTCTCTGTTCATTGAAAAGTCAGCGATAATCCTATTTAGAAAGAAGAAAAAGAGAACTCACTCTGCGTCCTGCGCATCTCCTCCTCAATCCTATACAAATATCCAACACCACCAGGTTAGACCGACCGTTCATTGAATCGAGGTTTTGGCTATCGGGGGGGTGTAAATGCTCGCTCACTCTTTAATTTTCTCTGTGATGTTCACCATTTTTGCAGATGGACACCCTTGTTGGGTGCAAAACGACTCCTAAATAAGCTCGAAAGGGATGATTTACTATTGAATAAGGAACAGGTCTAGAAGAAAAGTCGTTCCCCAGCACCGTAAAGCGTAACTAGCTCATATCGCGGGACGATGGTGGTCAGCTTTTGTGATTACATAATCTAATTTTTTCGAGACCTCCAGATTGATTGATATCTTCAGCTTCAACATAAACAAAACCAACATCCCTCTCGCGATCACATCTTCAGCTATGGATGAAACAGCTACTATGCCGCGGCCTACGGCTCCTTCTACCTCTCCCGGGCCAGATAGTATAACACAAGAAGGAGAAGCTTCTGCACCCTCCACAGATCTCGCCGTCGCCAATCCCGCAGACACCTCCCTCACGACCACCACTAAAGACCCAACAGACGCCGAAAAGAAGACAAAAAAGATAATCCGCCGAAAGCGAAGGCCAGCCCGACCTCAAGTCGACCCATCTACAGTAAAATCCGAACCCCCACCCCAAACAGGCACGATCTTCAACATCTGGTACAACAAATGGTCCGGTGGCGATCGCGAGGACAAATACCTCTCACAAGAACCTGCCCCTTCACGTTGCAGCATAGCCCGCGACAGCGGCTACACGCGCGCAGATAAGGTTCGCGGTTCATACTTTTGTCTCTTCTTTGCGCGCGGCCTATGCCCCAAGGGCCACGAGTGCGACTACCTACACCGTCTCCCGGGCCTGCATGACTTGTTCAATCCGAACGTCGACTGTTTCGGCCGCGATAAACACAGCGATTACCGAGATGACATGGGTGGCGTGGGCAGCTTTATGAGGCAGAACAGAACACTGTATATCGGCCGGATACACGTTTCGGATGACATTGAGGAGATCGTCGCGAGACATTTTGCCGAATGGGGCCAGGTGGAGCGCATCCGCGTGCTCAATTCTCGAGGCGTGGCGTTCGTGACATATACGAACGAAGCAAATTCTCAGTTCGCTAAAGAGGCGATGTCGCATCAGAGCCTGGACCATAATGAGGTGCTCAATGTGCGGTGGGCGACGGTTGATCCGAACCCGCTGGCGCAGAAGCGGGACGCGCAGCGTATCGAGGAGCAGGCAGCGGAGGCAGTCAGGAAGGCCCTGCCTGCGGAGTTTGTGGCGGAGCTGGAAGGGAGAGATCCTGAGGCGAGGAAACGGAAGAAGATTGAGGGGAGTTTTGGGCTTAGTGGCTACGAACCCCCTGACGAGGTTTGGTATGCTCGCACCAGGGAATTGGAGCAAGGGAAAGCAACTCAGCAAATCGAACCTCCGGCGGAAGGTCGTTTAATTGAGGATGTTCCAGCAGAAGTACCGCAGCAGCAGGCAACCAGTGGGGGTGGTATATTATCTGGGTCAACTCTAAGCGCACTGAACGGATTTACGGGGGGAAGTTTTACGACAAAACCAAGCGCCCCGGTGTCCAGTGGACCACTAGTGGCTTATGACAGTGATGATAGCGATTGATACGTCTCTTTTTTCAATTTTGCTTGTACAATAGTATTTTTTTAATCCTTTGAGGAACTATTTCTCATTTTAGTAAGCATTAAATGCTCACGGTGAGAGACAGAGCTCCTGCATGGCAAACTCAGCTACCAAAGAAATATACGGGTATCCTGCTATCATGTCATTCATACCTCATTCATACTAATATTCATCTCTCATATGGCTCATTTCTCATTACTACGTGAGAGATCATAATAGATACAACTGCCGGTGCGGTAGTTGTAAATAAACGCATTCTTATAGATTTCCTTCCCATCCTGAGGGTCTCGGCGCTCGTTGGCAAGGTCGTTGAGCATTTCGAGGACCTGAGCCATATACTTCCTTTCTGTCAGTGGGCAGTTCTGTATCACTGTCCGCCACCTGTCGGGGTCTGAAAGACGGGTATCCCGGAGGGCTTCCAAAACCTCATCTCGAGTGTCAATAGCCGCAATAGGTCCGTCAAGCGCTCTATCCATCACGTTGCGTGATTCGCGAATTGCTAGGAGAAGGAAAAAGGGGTTGTTAGAACAATAGTTCCTTGCACCAAGGGTACGTAGTCTTTTCAATGGGAACAAACATACCGGCCTCAATGATGTTTCGCCTATTCGTTTTCTTGCTCCGGTGGAGTGCTACTAAAATCCTTACGTCCTGGTCTTTCTCTCTGACCGAATTGTTGGATTCTTGATGGTACAGATGTTTCAGTGGTTTGCCGGCACCTGTTAGATGCTCACGCTGATTCCGCGCGCCGATTTCGCTTCGAAGCCACCCCGCCAATTCAGAGCTTCTCACCTCAAACTCTTCTTTGGTGCTAATATTCTTCACTTTCAGTCCCCGGTCCATGCTATCCTGCTTGACGATCACGACCCAGCTATGGTTATCATTCTTATACCGCGCAAGGATCTCCTCCAATGAGGAAGCATCAACGGAAAGTTCAGCACTAATTTCATGCGCCCACAGGTCCTGAACGACGCCAACTCCCACAGTACGAAGGACTGTAGCATCGAAACTAGCGACGAGAACATCACACTATTTCAAATCAGAATATGCCAGGCCTGAACACCCCCCCAAAGAAGGTTTAACTTACCCGTCTTGCCCGCCAGATTCCGCTTATTTCCGCCTCTCCCTGTTTAAGGAAAGCTTTATTTGACCCTTTCAAATAGTTCGACATTGAGAGGCACAGTTTTTCCCATCCGAGGTTGAATCCGACCGCATGACGTTGGTTGCCTGAATATAGAACCTTAGGGTGGAATTCTTGAATGAGGCTATCGTATCGTCCTCCGGCCGCAAAGACATCTCGTCGTTTTGTGTCGGAAACGCATTGAAAGAGAACACTGCCACGAAAGAATTTATCGTTAAGACTGCTCAGGGGGTTTACGTAGATCTTTCTCTTCACACGGAATCCTTTTAGATACGACACCACGGCGTTTAGACGGGCGAATATCGGAGCGAGGCGGTCTGCAAACTCCGTTCCTTCCATGATTGTACGAAGGCGTTTTAAGGCTTTGTCTGGGCTATCTGTTATTTGGCATTAAAAAATGTCAGGTCTAAGAAGGGAGTCAGTATGGAGGAACAAACCTCGAAAGTCGAAGCGGGCAAGGTCGTCAACAGATGTAGACGCGACCCCGATAGTTGGAGATCGAAGCTCACTACGGATCTTTTGCATTGAGTACGGTCCAATATTCAACTTGCTAATGACCTCTTTAACCAGGGGCTTTTGTTGGGGGCTGATTCGACAAAATGACATAATCGCGTCAAGGAGGTCTGAGTGGTTAATGTGGAAACACATTGGGGCAGACCTCAGGGAAGGGAATTCATTCAAAATCTCGTCTAAGACCTTAATGACTTCCGCTTCCTTTAGTGCCAGATCCAAAGTGTTATGTGATATCATGTCAAAGTCAACCTCACGGTGACCACGTGGCGCTCCTCCGTGTATAGACTCCCGGTAGGCGGTGCCAAAAGTGAAGATCTTTTCGATGGACGAGTCTAATCTAGGCACGGAGCGAGCATTCGGGAGGGTGAGATCGTAGGGCAGTTGAACAAGGTTGCCTGCAGGATCCAAAAGACGAACCACCCCTGGGGGATAGTGTTCAGAACGTGGGAATAGGGAGCTGCGTGTCGTCTCAACAGCGCCGTGTTTCCGGAATATCGATGTCAATTTCTCTTTTACTAGACTTTGAAGCAACACTTCGGCAGCGGGTGGTGTTCCGCGAGAGTCCATATCCCATGCGATGTCTTCGAATTTTCTCGCTGGCTGGGAGAAAATAGCTGAAAGGATTTTCTTGTAGTCCGGTGAGTTAGGATCGGAGAGAATGCCCATAATAGCCTTTCGAAACATTTCTTCTTCAACCTGTAGAGGTATTTTGCCGCTTTGGAGAAGTTCTGCTGCAGTGGGTCGTTCACTTGGACGATGGCTCAGGAGGGACTCAATTATTTCTCCTTGTATGGCCCTCTCTGGTACCTCGAATGTTGAGGGGAGCGTATGAACCTTCTTTCTCACGTTCTGCAATGTGTGATCGCGCTCCATCGCCGTCTTGAGAGGATGGCACATTTCGAGAAATATAATGCCAAGTGAATACATCTACTATCATCAGTATTATTCCATTCGGGTATAATTTTCGTAGGCGTAGAATATTTAATAAAAAACTCACATCAACCTTCTCATTATACTGTCCGACCGACACAGATTTCATTTCAGGGGCAACATAGTAGGTGGTTCCTATACTCCGGGTATAATGCCCAGCAATGTCTGTGGCATTCGAAGATCGAACTGCCGTTGTGAACTGGCCAGTCGTAGCTAGGCCAAAGTCGCCGATGCGTGGGTTGTTCGCAACATCGATAAATATATTATCTGGTTTCAGATCCCGGTGAATAATGCCATGGCTATGGATATGGCTTAGGCCATCCACGATCTGTCGAAACAATCTCCAAGAAAACTCAATGTCGTCATATAATCCGTTCCTGATTAAATCGCGGAGTGTCTAGCGAAATATGTTAACCTATTTTTGCTCGGAGAGCAACCTGGGTGGCAATATGCTTACATGCTTCTCGCAATATTCCATCTGAATGTAAAGCGTAGTTGTCACAGTGTGGGATGATGATCCAGATCTCAGCCTCTGAAGGCTTGGGCCTTCATCTGTTTTTAATGGGCTCCATTGTCTATGGTGGCCGGATTCTTCCGATGCCGTATCAGTGTCGTCATGCCCATCACTATCATACCCAAACTCTATGTCAGGATACCCCTTTGAGCTTATAAAATCAAGTCCACTTGTGCTATATCCGAAATCCACGTCGTCTTCAGGATGACGCGAATTTGCTTCGGTGGATGACACTGCCTCGTCGTCAAGAGCATGATAGTCTCGTTCGAGCCACGCAGTAAAATACCGTACGACGTATGGATGATTAAGCCTTGATAGTAGCATAATTTCGGATAAAGTATCCTTGAGGGCGATCCCTGACTTCGAGGAGATTTTTTTGATTGCGTAAAACCCTCCGTCTAGCTTGTTTCGCGCTTTCACAACCTGGCCGAAACCTCCTTTGCCCAGGCGCCCAACCTCATCAAAGTCCTGCCCATACCGAGAAAATGAAGGGAGGGCTCCCTGGGAATCAAGCCGGCTTCGTCTTCGTAGCGATATTAGATTGGATGCAACCGATGGTTCAAGCAGTGGCGCATCGACTCGAAAGAACTCGAATGGTTGAATTTGGAATGCAGTGGGGCGTTTTTTAGGGTCCGGTCTAAAGATCTCCCCAAGCATTTCCTCCAAAGGCATTGAAAGATCGATCGCATTCATAAGAGCGTTGGCTGATGTATACCGCTGCATTATGTCCTTTCCAAAACTCATTTGCAGAAAAACTATCCCTAGATCCCATACATCAGTTTTGGTGCTGGGCTGAGAACCTTTCTGTGTGAGCTCTGGTGGAATCCAAAATGGAGACTGGGAGGAAGTTAAAGTTCGCTTCGCTCCTGATGGTACTGGAAGCGATTCCTCCACACCACTTAGAAGTTTGAGTATGGTGTTGTTGGACTGGGTTCTGAACAATAACACCCGTCCAGAATGAATGTTGCCATGAACAATACCGTTACGATGATAATACTCTAAGGCATCAAGCAGCTGTAACATCCAGGCCCTTGCGGTGTCTGCCGTCACACTCCCGATCATGTCAAGCAGCTCAGATAGCGATCCTTTGTTAGCATACTCGAACAAAGTGTAAATATGCCATGCGCTTTCGTGGGATGTCTCGGGGCCAAGAGGGCGATATATCTTAAATCCAATAAAATCAACCAGATTTGGGTGTCTCAGTCGCTTTAGGATTTCGAGCTTGTCTTCGCTCGCCCTAATTTCCTGGCGGAGGTCACGCTCCAAGCCCATTTCCCGAATAAATAGCTGTTTAAGGACGAGGAGTGGAACATGAGCCCCATTTCCAGAAATGACAGGCCTCACTGTGAAAGTCTCCTTGTGAGGCGCACTGGCAATTAATGTCTTCCCAAGTACCGACCGGAAAGTAATAGGTCGTTCATCATAGTCATTCATTACTAACGGTGGGTCAAATGAAACAAGGCCAGTGTCAAAGGACTCACTATCCTCAAAAGCCACCTTGCTTCTCCGTCGCGACACTTGTTCCTTCGCTCGTTGTCTTTGCTTAATTTTGCTCTCAAGTAGCGTTTGTAAAGCCTTCTCTTCTGCAGCAGTGGCCTGTTCCTGCCTCCTCCGCTCTTCCTGCTTTTGTTCCTCGGCTTGCTGTATTGCTGCGGCTTCCTGGACTATCCGTTCTTCCTCCAGGCTTGGTATGTCTTTGTCCTCGGCTTGTGCTATTGCGACATCTTCGAGGATATCCTGAACGGATAGTGCAAGTTCGTAGATCATTTCCGAACCCAGAAGGGTTTTTGGTTTAGTTTCAATCACATCCTTGATCCTGGATTTAGCTCCTCTCCGGAGGTCATCAAGACCTTGGACGGTCAAATTTGGGACTGTCTTAGGGTATGTCGCAGGCAGCGAAACTAACAAGACAACCTGCACGTCCGGATTCGAGGAAGCTCTCAGATGCAATTTGAAAGCTACTTCAGACGCTTGCTATTTACCAGAACATGAGTACATCCTCCCGTATATATATGTGCGTATATCTGTAAATACAAAAAGGCGAACGCATTTTGTACGGTACTCACATGCCAAGCAGCTTGTCGGACTTCTACATCCTCAAAATCAGTCGAGTATATTGAGCGCAAGGCGTCGGCCTCATTCTCATGAATTTCTTTGTAGTTAGTGGTAGGGGGAACAGCAGGTGGTTCAGGAGGATTCTCCTTTTTCTCTACTTTTGGAGCGCCATTTTTCAGGACATTGCTTTTCTTGTGTTTGTGAGGCATGGCGGACTTCGGAAATGGATGCAGGACACATTAGAAGAAGATCGTGATGTCCGTTGCTCCCAGAAAGAGTAGACAACGAAGATGCAGCCGAAGCTGCAGCCCTCTACCTAGACATGATTAGAAAGGATCGCGGGTTATAAATCGTTAAATTGAGGTTTAACTGTTGACATAGTTAGCGGGGAAGATGGAAGGCGGTCGGTCGGTCTTGGGTTGTTGATGTGTCTACGGTGCACTGGAACAATGTTTTTCCCTTACGGCGCCAGTGGCCGGCTAAATTGACACACTAAGCCGGAAACAGTAGTTAAACATCGCGTTCTCCGCGCTACACGCGCCAGCCGGTTGAGTGACGTCGAAGTAAACAAACCAACCCCAACTCGACCCAACGTTGCAAGAGAGCTGCTAGGCATTCCCACAACGGCAAGCCAGTGAGCGCAATACGGGACAATGCTTCTCTGATATTTGGTCATTAGTTTTAGCCTCCCCTTCTCTCAAGCAACTTCCAGCCGTTTTGCCAACATGTTAGGCTGGTTGGCTGGTTCCGCACGCGGTGAGTACACCGGCTTTGCAGGTATGTTTGTTCCACACCGCCTCTATACGCCTTCCTGCCAATAAGAAATTTCCTTTCAAGCTCCAATTGCTAATTGTTTACACTCTCGATAGACGATTCCAAAGTCCAGGAAGCTCCAGAAACCCCCGCTCCTTTATTTGCTTTTCGGGCATTCAAAAGTGCCTTTGTGGGCACGCCAGGCCCCGATGCCACCGACGACGAGCTTACAGTTCCAATTAAATCATTAAAGCCCACCGTCAATCGCAAGGGCACTGATATACATATGCCTCCAAAAAAAGAAAATCCAGGCCCTTTAGATTTGCAACCATCCCTTCGAAAGTCAGATGAACCTGCACCGCCGATGGCTTCCCCCACAAAGAGCATTCTGCTCACACCAGGAACTGCAGCGACGCGACGGAAGACTGTATCGTTTGGTGAAGGAGTTGTGGACAATGAACGAAAGAAGTCTCCCTTCGAATCGACTGCGTATAATGGTAATATAAGCCGGCAATGGACAGGCAAACTACACGAGGGAAGCGGTAAAAAAAGCAGCAAGCTCACCAAATCTCTCATCGAGGCTCGGAGCAAAAAATCAGGTGAAGAAATGAAACGAAATGAAAATGACGAGCTTTTCGATATTATGGATCGAAAACCTCACTCACCTGCTAAGGAGACCTCCAGGCCCAAGGGGAATCAAGATCCACCCAAGGATAGGTATGAAGACGAAAGCGAAGACGATGTGACGACAAATCTTGACGAGCCACATTCACAGTCAGGGATATATTGGAAATCTGAATTCGATAGTTATAGGGCGAAAACTGAACGAGAGATTAAAAAGCTGATTCAATACCGATCAGTTGCGAAATCTTACGCGAAGAAAAAGGATTTAGAAATGCGGCGTTTATCAGAAAAGTTGAAACGAGAAGAGGCCAAAGTTTCGGAAATGGAGCTTCACGTTTCTAAGCTTGCAGCTGGAATGGTAGACGGCACGAACAAAACGGGGTCAAATGAAGACATGTTTAAAGAGCTATCCGAACAGACAGCCTTAGCTGTACAGTATAAGCGCAAAGCAGATTCGCTACGGAAGGCTCTAGAGCGACACGGGATGATAGACAGCGATGGCGAGTCTCAAGAACATAATACAGCCTCAGAGGACGTTTGCCAAAAACTCCGGGAAACGGAAAAGGCACTTGAATTGGCTAATTCCAAGCTCGAGGCGTTAGAAAATAACAAATTGAATACAAAGAAGCTTCAAGGCCTAGCTGAGAGTTCAGAACGTAAAGCCATCGAACTTCAAAAAGAGAACAAGGCATTGAAACTGAGTCTCGCCAGGTTCAAGGAGGAGATGACGAGCTATGAGGACAGGCGGAAAGCTAAGGAAGCGAGGCTAAGGCAGAAAGAGCAAAAGCTGCAGGACCGAGTTCAGGAGTACAAGAACCGTTTAGATGAGGCGAAGCAACACCACCAAGAAGCGGAGCAATTTTTAAAACAATCCTTTACCGAAGAAAAGCAACACATGCAGGATATTATCGACTCGCTCCGTCACAATATATCACTTGTGGAAAACGTTTCTCATGGCAGTGTTAGGCGGAAAGGTGAAATCAAAGTATTGCCAAACGCTGCGGATATGAAACGTGAGCATGACACAGTGGATAGGCAAGATGGGAAGTATGACTCTCGCAAAGGAACTGAATCGGGAACTCGAATTTCCCAGGGTTATAAAGATATAAAGGCGGAAAGCCCCAGAAAAGACCTTGTCCAAAATGCAAGTGATCCTAGACGCGACAGCTTTCGAAACACCCTTAACGAACATGTTGATGCGATCGAACCCCAACCACACGTGTTTGAGCGACATGGGACTAGACCTGAGCGCACTACGCGGCGTCGAACAGACACTTTGATTGACTGCAGTGAGGACCACAACGAGCCAACGACCAACTTGGAAGATTCTCCTGCTCTGCCCAAAAATCGCGTTACCAGAACTCTTCCTTATCGAGATAATCCCCCGGTCCCGCCCTCTTCACCACCTACCCTTCCATCATTGGAGAACAGCCCGGTGTCCTCACCTGACAAGCGAACGCCAAGACTACGTCTACAAGCGCGTTCAGCGTTGTCCCCAAGACCCTCGATGGTCCATATATCTTCAAACCCGACAAACCCTCCGGCAAGACTTTCAAGTCAGTATCAAAGTCACCTCAGACGGAAAGTCAGCGGGACCCGTGTGCTTTCGAGGACCTCTGCCAAGGCTGCAGCGGCCACGGCGACTAATCGTCAGGTCCCCTTCCAGCGAGAGGAGTCTATACTCCGCGGCAGTGACTCCCCTAATAGTCCCGCGAGCCTAAAACGTGATTCACTTCCAGCGGATAGAGTGGCGGCAGCTATGAGGCGACTCAAACTCAGGGATCAGAGGAAAAGGGTAAACGCTGAGGGGAAAGAAAATGTTTGGTCAGCTTGATTTGCATTCCTCTTTCTCGTCTTTGTTTTAGTGGGCGTGCTAGGGGACTGGTGACAGGACTAAAGGCTTGATGTTGGATTGGGTTTTGTTATTTGGTTTCTTTTTTTTTTTTTTTTTTTTTTTTTTTTTTTTTTTTTTTTTTTTTTTTAACGTCAAAGGGGTACTGGCCAGGATTTTCTATATACCCGGTTGATGTAGTTTTCGTGGAGTCTTTTCCCCTTCCTTTCCCTTTTTCTTTTCAACTATTATTATTATTTAAGGCTACTACTAGGATGCGCAGCACCCCATGAGCGTTGAGTGGTGTTTGTGGATCGCTATTACTTTTTGTCATTCTTTGTTTTTCGGGCTTGGTAGAAATGTATGCGTAGATTGTGGCTACATAGATACACAATAAAAAAGCCTTGCATATCATATCAAACCATAATTCTCATGTATGGATGGGTAAAAGTGGTGAATTTTCTTGACTTTTCTCCCAGACCAATGCAGGTTATTTTATTTTATTTTATTTTATTTTTCTTTTAAAGTCAGTGTTTGTGATAGCCAGACACAAAACTACCCTGCGCGAGGGTGGAGAGGCCGGATGAATATCTGAACACTATTCAATCAATTTTAAAATGGGGTATCCATCCATGGTTATTATGTCTATCTATTATATCACATGACGGAAACAGCTCCTCTCCTCGTCACTCATATCATCCCTAGCAAACCTAGCTCTATGAGTCGATATAACCTTGCCTACAAACCAAGCTCTCAAGCCTTCCCGTCCGCAAACGAAACGACCGCCCATTTCCCACCCCAAGCCCACTTGCGCTCCTTCTCCCCACCGCCATTAGGCAATGCGCGGAGGCGCTCATCTTCGCCCTCCGGCAAACCCACAACGGTATCTGCTTTGCAAGTGCGGAGTGCTAAGACACGGATACCTGATGAAGGCCCCAGCGGGCCGATTGCGGTGGTGAACGGAGTAGTAAGGGGCCACTGGGCCTATGATTTGGCGTGCGTTGTTAGTTGTATGTGAACCCATACCCGGAACTAGAAGGGGGTGTATGGGGTACGCGTTCTTATGCTCAGGAACACCGGGGAGGGTGGTTCGAAACGTACATCACCAACTAACTTCCTGTAATTCAAATCGCCCTTGAAAATCACCAATTCGCTCGCCTTTAGATCTTCCAGCAGCTCGGGCGCCTCGTGCGGGAGCCGCCAGTAACTAGACGCAGTGGTCCAGAAGCGGTTTGGCCGGATGATCAGTCTTCCCTCTTCATGGAATTTGCTCCATTGCTGGAACAGGAACTTGAGTTCTTCTACTTCCCGCTCAGAAAGGGCTTTTGCATTGTTGCCGTTGGCTTTGGGGTCTCCAGCTTCGTCCGGTGATGTGTAGAAGGCTTGCGGGTCTGCGAGAGCGGAGATGAGGTCCATGAAGTCCTTGGGTAGCACATCGGAGACGAACCAGGGGAGGGATTTAGGGTGAAGCACGATTGTTGTTGCGAGGCCTGCAGAGAGTAGGTAACCAGCTAAGATCAAATCGACGAAGAGCTCGAACCCAGCATTATCAAGGACGATGTCGACGCGGCGCTCTTCCGAGGGTCTGGCTTTCTTGGCAGAGTTTAATATCGTAAAGGCAGCCGGGAGGTCGTTAATAAGGATGTTCTCCTCCGCAGCCTTGCGTGCTTTGGCACCTTGAAGTTTCTGGATATCTTCGTATGTGAGGGAAGTCAAGAGAGAGAGATCGGTGGCGTTCCCCCAAAGGCAGATTTCGCACATCTCCATGAAGAGCAGCCTTTCCGCTTCCTCGATTTGTTCTAGTCCCTTGCCTTGGCCTCCTTCGCCGCTTTCGATTTGTTGGATAAGCTCCTTGTATTTTGCGGCCAATTCTAGGACGGCTGGGCGGGATGATTTAAATGTGGACATCTTCTGTCGTGCGAATATATCGTACGTTTTCCAGTGTGTTGAGAGGGAGAACAACAGGTTTATTCGTCGATCTTTTCTCGAAGTCAGCTTTTCAGGCTCGAACTGCTCCAAAAACCACTGGTATGTACTGAATGTCCGGGAAATCACAAACAGAGATAGCACTCAGTGAAGAGCCACGGAGCATTGAACCAAACGAGTTGACCTCGTTCCTCAAGTTCCTTGTTATATATAGCAATATCCGATTCTCCATCATCTTCTAATGGTCTGTTTCTCGTAATCCTCGTGCCATTGCGACGTCAGTCATCCGATGGTAATGTATATAGATCCCAGCAGCCGGCTGCGACTCCCCGCACAGGATCAGTCGAGCTTCAAAGAAAGGGCACATACGTTAGTTTGCGATTGTGCTGCAATTCATATTTGAGCTCAGCAAGCTTCCCCACCATGCCCTTGCCTTCCTTTCTCTTTTCATCGTCTGAGACTTCGAAAAGCGTGCGGGAGAGGTCGTCAATTGCACTGGTCTAGTTATTCAAAGTAGTTTTGAATTAGCAAATTGACATTGAACTTGTCAATAGGTATTTATTTCTATGGAAAACCACGTATACTAACCAAAATAACCGGCCATCTGTCCCGGGCTGATATGTATGCAAATGATGAGGTGTCACCGGTGCTGTAGGGAGCTGTTTACATGATGCCTCTTAGCCCGGTCGCCCCAAGTGCACTACCCCTCCATTGTACCCGCGTCTGTGGTTTCGGAAGGCGGTTCAGAAACAAAGGGGGAATCAATTGAGGACTTACGGGTCTTGGTGTCGAATTCCATGTTGCTTCCTCTATCTGGTTCTATTGGGTGAGTGTTTGTCCGGAAGGATAAATAGGATTTGGAAGAGGGAGGATAAATAGTTAAACAAGCATGCAAGGAGGTGGGTGGAGATAAACCAAGGTTGCTGTGGAAGTAAGTGACACTCAATATGTTTCCGCCAACGCCGGGCACCTCGCCAACCACTAATTCCTACATAGATTTATATCGAATCAAAGCGTAGAGAAGGACTGAAATTGAAAATACAACAAAGCGCATGACATGTTCTGTTTCTCATAGTTTACAGCCCAAGTTGAGTAGCCTTATAATAGCGCCATAATAAGCCATAAGTCGTTATAGCAAGAGCAGTGTAGTTGTTAACCGGCAGATTGCAGTTTATATCTCTAGAACTTCAGAAATATATTTATAAAGATTTGGGATGGAGGGGCAATGCGGCGTTGAATTATCCTTCACCGAATAAACTAGACTTGAGGGATCCAAAGCGTTCCTTTTGTATTGACGGGGTTGCCCCTGTTTTGAACTCCGCCCGTTGTACTCATTTATATTCGACAAAAAAACGCTTCCTCTCCGCCAATAATAGTTATTGATTTCTACTCTAAATCAATTCCTCTATATACAAAAGACAGCCACTTCCCGGCAAGATTTTAAGCGGAAAAACCGAAGTAAGGAAATGAGCATACACGTTTATACTCCCCCATCGCTATGCAGAGCAGGCGAAAATACAAAAGGATGGTAGCTATGAAGGGGTTGGTGAAAGTTCCTGGGAAGAAAAAAAGGTGGATGGATAGAAAGATAGAGAAAAGAGAAGAGATAATTTGTTCCCCCTGAAGCCAGGGCACCTCCTTCTCTTGTGCTGTAGAAGGCAGATAGATATAAAGAAAATCATATACAAAAACTCTTGAGGGGCAAAATGGCCCAAAAAAATAATAAAAAAAATAATAAAAAAGGAGAAGAAGAAGAATAAAGTCATAGACAAAACAAAATGGGTTGTATAAATCTCATGCTAAATTCTTTGAATCAGCGTGGCAGCGTAGCAGCGTGCGAGAAACTATGGTGAACAGATATAATCTAAACTGTCCCTTCTCTTCCTCTCCTTCCATTCCCTTCCTTTCCAATAGGACGCGATCACCGGGGTGCCAAGACGGACCCCTAGACAAGGTGTCATGTGCAGGTTGTTCTTGTCGAATTGGTATCACATTAGAGACATGATCGAATTCGCAGCGTATGCCTAAAAAATGTGCGTTAGCAGACTGTGGAAGAATGCACGAAATGGGGGGCAGTTGTGTATATTTCTCAGCATACCATCGGCTTAATATCGGGATGAGGTACGGCTTCGAATTTATGGAATTCGAGCTTTAGCTCTGGGCCGATGTTGATATACGCGCCTTTATTTTCCGTGCTGTCGCAGTACCTGGGCGCGGAGAACACTGAAAGTGGAGAAGAAACGAAAGTCAGCAAAGCAGAAGCCACCGACGCACACGTCGAAAATTGAGGTAACGAAGACCTGGAGAGAAGAAAGAAAAAGGGGAGAAAGGGAATAAACTCACCAGTAATGCACCTCCCATCATGCTCAACCTCATACCCTTCCATCCTAACCTCATGACTCCTAATGACTGCCTCAAGTCCATTGTTCTCACAAAACCTCTTTGTTACATCCGGTCCAAACTGCATCCCCACTCCTCTCTTGCTTGGACCCCTCCCAGGCGCTGTCTGTGGATCCGTCCATAGCATCTCCATCATAAGCCCCGATTGGCCTGGCTGCCGCTGATTATGCCTATTCAGCTTCCGAATATCGTCCAGCGAAACCTTATCGTCAGAAAACAGACCACCGTGCAGTGTGAGGAACTTATCACCGATCAATGTGGCCAGCGGTAATACGGAGAAGGATTCCGAGAACGTCTTGAAGAGGCGCTCGTTGTATTTAGCCTTGCATTCGCCTTCGAAGCCGTAGGCGCGGTTCATGTCGTCTGTCTCGTGGTTGCCGCGGTTTAGGAAGAATCTGTGCGGACGCAGCCACTTATAGGCGTAGAGGAGAAGGGCAACCTCCGTGGACCAGGAGCCACGGTCAACGAAGTCGCCATTGAAGAGGTAAGCGTGTGTATCAGAGGGGTAGCCATTCAGGCGGAAGATTTCGAGGAGGTCGAAGAATTGGCCTGTCAAGAATTCATTGGTTAGCTAGTGATCCCGAAAATGTCAGAAGTTAAAAATCATGGTATAAAAGCGCGCTTACCATGCGTATCACCACAAATAGTCAACTTGGTCCCCTCCTTAACCCCAACCTCCACCATCGTAGGCTCATCGTAAACGATATCCTTTGTGGCCCGCACAATCTGAAACGCATACTTCTTATGAATTTTCTTGCCGGTCTTGAACCGCTCAATCATATCGTCAATGAACTCCTGCGTCATTGACTCGCCTAATCGTACGCCATCATAGCTCTCTTCAACAATCATGCCGTCAATATCCAGCCCTTCAAACGCTGAAGGAGGGTCCGCGACTTCGATGGCCTTCTCGAACTCTATCCGCCGCACCAGTTTTTCGCATTCTGCCAATTTGAGTTTTGCATCGCGGTCGTTTGGCGCCTTGCGGACAACAGTTTTGAAGTCTTTTAGCGCTGCGCGGGAGTTAAGGATTGCGGTGTTCGCGATTGCCCGTCGCCAGTATGCCTGTTTTTATTTTCAACGGGTTAATAGGGAACCTCGCGACCGAGCATGTGTAAGAGGGGGTAAAACGGCGATTCCGAACCTTTACATAGTTGGGGTCGAGCTCTATTGCCTTGGTAGCATCCGCCACAGCATACCCATATGCCTCCCGCTTTATATGTACCTATACGTCTCAAATTTTACCCAGTTAGTCGCAGGTTTTCCCTACGTATCCTTGACTTTCTGAGCACTCTCCTCCTCCCGTAAAACTCGGATTAGGCAAGATAAGGCGCCGCAACGGCATGCGAGGTCACCCGAAAAGGGGAAAACGGAAACATACCTGCGCGCGGTTACAAAAGAACGAAGGGTCCTGATCATATTGCTCAATCGCCTGGGAGTAAAAATCTAATGCCTGAATCCAATCATGGCTTGCGAACGCTTTATTGCCTTGTAGTTTCAGGGCCGTAGCAGCCTCCTTGTCCGTGGTCGCCATCAGAGCCGAGACGAGAGAGTAGGTCCAGCAGCGGGAACTATAACCGTAAAAACTCGTCTTTTTTCCCTTCTCCCTCTATATACCCTCTCCTTCTTGATCTTATCACTTAAATCTGAGGTGGGAGCTCCTCTCGCCTTTAATTTCGTATTTTTGTTACCTCTTCGAAGGAAACACGCGACAAGTGGGGTAGTTATTTAGCAAGCCGAATGCGATTATCTTTTGCGACTTCTGTTTCTCTAACTCCAGATAGGGTCTGTAGCGCAGTTATATTCTGAGATTGCAGTGCAGGCGCATGTGTGTATGTTGTATGTATGTTGAACGAACGTCTGGAAAACGATTCCACAGATTCCCTGGCTAGTCCCGCAAATTGGAAAGCGATGGAATTTGGAGAAAAAGAAAAGAGTTCCCTGCCTTTTTCCGGCGCCAAGAACACATGCCAACTAGGCCTTTTTGGGACTAGTGACCGTTTTTGGTTCCTGGCCCGTGCGTCAGATCGCTTATGTCAGCACAGCGGCATACTTTCATCCCGGACACCATTCCAGAGTCAGTTCGGGCAGACATGGGAACAACACGTTGGAACAGTGGAACAGTCTATCCGACATATCGTCATAAAACGGAGCGGAAAAATAAACCAGAGCAAGAGGAATAGGAGGAGCGAGCGCCATGTCTTCCTTCTACGTCCCCACGGGTCAACAGCGATCCCTCCGCGCCTGCATGGTCTGCTCCATAGTGCAGGTACACAGCGTACGTCCATACACACACACTCTTCTCTGCCCGCTCTCGTTTTCTCTAATAGCACGTCACTAACAAATTTTGCCACGCTATTAGAAATTCATGCGCGAAGGCTGCCCCAACTGCGACCACATCCTCGGCTTGGCTGGCAACGGCGAAAAGATCCAACAATGCACATCGCAGGTGTTCGAGGGGCTGATAACACTGGCAGACCAACGTGCGTCGTGGGTGGCGCGCTGGCAGAGGTTGGAGGGATATGTGTCAGGCACGTATGCGGTTAAGGTTACGGGAACGGTGAGTAGAGACGCCAATCACATCACCATTCACATCACGGTCAAAGGGACTTAAATATAAGGGGATGAATGCTGTTTTTTCTGCTCTGGCTTCGATAATTTGGTGAAGGATATCGGCTGACGTTTCTTCTCTTCTGCGTGTAGTTACCACCTGGTGTCCTGGGTGATCTTGAAGACTCGGGGGTCCGATACGTTCCGTATGTGTTCATTTCCTTTCTGCCCTACCCACCCATCCCCATCGGCCTGCGCGTTTTTCCCTTTCTCGGGTGTGCTAATTAACTCTTTCTGTCACATATAGGAGAGACGGAAGCTCTGTTGATGAGGAGGGTTGATGGAACCTTTTTGTTCTCTTTTTGCTTTCTCGTCGAGGGAGTCTGGATATTTTGATACGGTAGGACGGAATTTATTTAAAAAGTGGTGGTCTTCTTCAGACTGGAGTTTACGGCCCTTGGAAGATATACCTTGATTGTTTTCTTTTTTGTTTCTTTAATAGACGGCGTTGGTTTAGTTTTGAGTATGACGGGCGAACTTTTTGAAACGAATACAGCATCTCCCGAATTTCGATTCTTACCGCGGATTCGACATGACTGGATTTGGTGTCACAGAACACAATATTTGGACCACACGTTTAACTCCAGAAAATTAATTATAGGTTTCAGAAATCATCAAATAAACAAAATTAAAATTAAGGCATCCAATAAGGCCTCCTGGTGCGGCGTTGAGATATCTAACAACCAGACACACAGAACAAACGCGGAAGGGAAAAAGGAAAGATAAAATTAATCGCCAATAGGGGAAAACAACATCCAAGGCCCAATGCGTCTAAAAACTAAAATGAGGTAACCATGTCCAAGAAAATTACCGTTGTACTAAACCAAGAAATAAAAATGAAATCCTACACTAATTACTTCAAGACTTCACGATCTTCTCCAGCGACTCGAGAAGGATATCAGCTATTTCACACACACGGTATATGTTAGCTTTGTTCCTGTTACCAACACACGAAGACTAGGGTATAAATATCTTACCATGATGCTTCTGGAAGATCAACATTGGGCGAAGTCGCACAGCCCGCTCACCACATCCGCCAATGTTGATCCCAACGCTCTTCCCCTTCGCCAGGACAGCGTCACGCCGTGGGCTATCCCAGGCAACAAAAGTGCCCTGGCCCTTTCCTCTCAAATTCTGGAACTCGTTGGGGTATTGCTTCGCTAGGCGCTCGAGGCCGGCATACAAATAGCCACCCGTGGCAGCAGTGTGGTTGACCAAATCCAAGCGCTCGATCTCCTGGATGATTGCGCGGAAGATAAGCGCACGAGCTGGGTCACCCATCCACGTGTTGAATTGACGGTATGGCTTGTTGGGGCGAAGGAGGGGGTTTCCATAGAAGTAACCAGCTGCCTGTGCCTTCTTGGAGAAAGTGACGATATCCGGTGGAGTTTGGAGGTTCCAGTGGTCATGGGCCCAGAATTTTCCGGTGGCTCCAACGCCGGTTTGCACCTCGTCAACGATCATGAGGACGTCGTGTCGCTTGGTTATTTCGCGCAGGCCCTGGAAGAATGCTGGGGATGCATGGTTGTCTCCACCTTCGGATTGAATAGGCTCGACCACAATAGCAGCAACTGGGTTATGGTATTCCTTGATGATACGCTCAGCTTCCTCCAAGCATCGTTTCTCTTCCGCGGCATTTTCTGCAGCAAATTCCTCTAGAGGGTATTTCAGAAGCGGGAATGGAGCTTGAGGCCAGTCGAATGCAGGAATATCCAGTTTGTGGATCGGCTTGCTTCTCGTGGTGGAAAGGGTACCAAAGAGACGGCCATGGAAACCAGTTTTGAAGGACATAATAGACAGGGGCGGGGAACCAGGAGCCTTGTTCAACATAGCGGACTCGATCTCTGCCTCGGTGAATTCAACCTCAGGGCCACCACGTACAAACTGCTGGTGGTACATAAAGGCAGCCTTGTACGCGGTTTCGTTTGCATCTGACCCAGCGGTGGCGGTGAACACCTGGTCGAGGCCTTTTGGTGCGACGGTGAGGATGCCGGATTTGAGAATAGATGCCCAATCGTGAGATGGGAAGTTTCCTAGCGCAGGACGATTGACCAAGGAGCTAACCATCTGTTGTGACTTCGCAGCGGCAATCAAAGCAGGATTATTGTAACCAACGGCAATTGAGGCGATTTGGGAATATCTAGGTAGGTTCAGAACCACGAACTCAAGACGGCGGTTGCAATGGAATCTCAATTGAGAATGTTAGAAGGCCAGGAACTTACACATCCAACAGCATATTTCCGTCAAGATCAGCAATACTACATGGTGGGAAAACAAGTTAAAATAATGCATCCAAAATTGACTTCACTGGTCGAGGCTTGCTCGCATTCTCAAACTTACTAGTTTCCGGCGCTGACGTCATAATTTGCCAGCATATTAATGCTTCTAGTATCGAAGACCTCAGACAGCTCCGCAACTACCTGTTGATTCTTAGGGCCTGGGATGGAGGTTTTCATAGTTGGTCCAGCAGGCTCGTTTGGGAAGAATGGCTTGTCTGCCGCCGCACTGGCTCGCAGGTGCCGCGTGGTTGCAAATGACCGTACCGATTGAAGCCGTGGAAGAGCTCTCAAGCCTGCGACTGATCGAGAAATGGAGGCCATTGTAAGGATGAGAAGGGTAGAAGGAAGACCTAGGTTTAGAAAGCTAAGGTTCCAGATGGATCACTTCGCTAGCTGGCCAGTCAATAGCACAGTCTACGCTGCAGCTCTATATGACGGCTGCAGAGCTTGATATCAGAGATATCAATGCTATGGTACAGAGTACAGAGGCAGAAAGGAGATATTAAAAATGAAAAGAGACAATGCGCGCCGCTGGAAGAAGAACTGGACGAAGAGGACGGAGGACGAAGAGGAAGCTCTGGCAGATATTAATATGAAAACAGGTCAGGTTGCCCAAAGTTCCTCCGCAGCTCGGCTTCCCACTCTGCCTGCGAGAGGCTCGCCAGCTCCTTCCCTTGGGGGGAACCCCCGTGTGCCGAAGCCTCGAACTCTCACTGTTGCCACGCGCTCCCCGCATTTGCTTGCCCTCAGCCCCATCGGCGACTCTAGCCAATCATATCCCGAGATTGCCTCCGGGTTGGGCCATTGCAGCGTCCAGAAGGGGTTTAGCACGACCAGACCCCGGGCTCCCGGACCGCAGAATATTCCGGTTGATCAGGTTTCTTCCCCCGGTTTCCAAGGTTGCTGCCCTTGCCATTGGGCCCCAGAACCCGCTGGCTGCAGTTGTGACACAAGTTCCCAAAGCGTCCTCCGTACCCGTTCAGAGGTAGCTAGCTAGCTGCTTTGAAAATCATATAGATCAATTTGACAATAAAATTCTCGGAGAACAAAGAGAAGATAGGGAAAACAATAAAAAAAAAAAATAAAAATAAAAATGTGACCATGAAACTTTACTGAATTTGGTAGATGCTAAATAACATAAATAAATAAATAAATATGAAAAACAAAAAGAGATGGACAATCAGGGAATCGAACCCTGGACCACCCCCAGGTTAATTCGCTTGTCGAATTGATGCTAAGGGGGTATTATACCACTAAACCAATTGCCCATGTTTGAATGCTGCACGCATTTTTCAGCACTTCAAGGGTTTTCGAAGGTTCCGGATTGAACCATGGGAACCGTCGAAAGGTTAATTTTGCCATTGGGTGATGTTGATTGGATCTGGTAGTCGACGGTGAAGCTTAAGCTAAGACTACGGAGTGCAATGCAGCTACTAACACAATGATCTATGTAAAAATTTGGGCGTCTCGGAATTAATTGAGTAATTCAGGATGGAAGACCCAAAATAATGACGATTACTCTGATACGACAAAATATTTAGAATGCCCATATCCAGTGCTAATAAATATATTCATATCTATATCTTGCAGAACTTTATTCACTCGTTAGCACCAGGAAAGAAAACCCGGAAACCCGGAATAACGAAGAGAAGGTGAATAAGATAGACATCTGATCAATCGGAAACTGAAAAGAAATCGTATTTTATATAGTATGGATTAACATTGCATCGTAATCATACAAAATGGCCATCTGATGAGAGACGGTCAGGCAATGGACCTAGCAGGTTGTCGGAGACCTATTATCCTATTATACCACTCTACAATGTCTTCGTCATCACTGGCAAAAGTGGTTAGTTGAAGAGGACCATAGAATGCTAAAAGTTTTACAACTTAGCCACGTTGTGAGGATATAGTGCACAGTGGTCCTACATGTGGCGTAATATCTCAATCCTATATATCTTATTCAAGTGCGGATTTACCCGCCTTTAGGTGTAGTGATAGTAACCACCCAAAGGCAGGCCGTCAATCTAGGGAGTATAAGACTTATATGTATAAGAAAATATACGCACGGCCCACTGGATTACAGATTCAAGGTTCTCCGCTGTTCCCCCCTGAATCCGTTTCCCTCTCCAACCAGCCCCTCAACCTAAAACACCAAACCACCCTCTTCATGTATACTCGTCCACAAGTTATGTCCTGGTTGCACCATGTACCATGTACCCTTGGCGAAGTTGCTAAACCCCGAAGGAATCTGCAACGTTAGAGTTGAGATTTCGGAAGAGGTCCAAAAGAGAAAGCTCTAAGCTCCCCTCAATACCGGATGGCCATTGACGATGATCGAACAACGTTACGACCAACCTCCATTTTCTTCCGAAATATTTGTAGCATCGTGACTCCCATGGCCAAGTGTAGCTTGAGCTAACTCCCGCAGATTCCGATCAGATGATCGGTTATCTAGAAGCCTGCAGTTTCCGAACTACGACCGTAGCCCACAACATTTTTGCACTATCGTCTAAAGCAATGGAAAAATATGCCGTTTGGAAGCGTCAAGGTCCGAATAGTTCCTTCCCCGTCCCTCCCACTAACGCACCCAGAAAACCACCTTTCGCTCGGATCCGCCAGGACACATTGGCGCCAGTTTGAGCCCCTCCTCCAACCCAAGAGCTAACAGCTGCTACCACCGCTGCTGAGTCGTCGCGAGGAACTCGAATCCAGAGTGTATTTAGGCCCGGGGGAATGGTTTCGATCTTTAGTATATCAATCGATATAGACGTGCCAGATACACCGAGGAATTGGGAGAGCGCGGACGAAAGATACGTGCGTGCCGTAAGCGCATCGAAGGATGTTGACGCCGATAGATCTGGTTGGGTAATTCTGTGCAACATTTAGAGCTAGATTAGTATCTTGGAAGCTCAATTTTCTAAACACAGAACGGGGTCTTCGTACAGTTGAAGCTTGAGATATGACCACGGCGGCTTGCGGGAGGTGAAGTTGATTGGGAGGCCACTGTCAACTGCAGAATTATCGGTAGCTTTCCGTTTTGTCGAGATTGCAGCTTCTGCTTGCCTGTCTGTATTGTTCTTGGAAACCTGAGTGGGCTTTTCGCCGGATAAAGTTGCCATTGCGCTTTCAAGAGATAATCGTACAAGACACAGAATAAAAACAATAAATACGGTAATCTCAACTAGAATGGAGCATTGAGTCGTATGACGGCGTTTCGCATTGCTGAGTGGCCTGGTCTATTCTACTGGGATCATACTGCGGGTCAATTGGCCAGAGATAGTTTAGCACTCCGCTGTGTTGAGAGATCGCCATATGCAGCCCGGCGCCTAGCCCAATCGGAACTTGCGGGATCCATTCACAATAGCCGCGCTAAGCGATAGACAGTAACCTCTTCACCACACCCAATAAAATTATCAACTGAACATGACGAAGCAGAATCCTGATTATTCACACAAGAGTGAAACAGTTGAAGGACTAAGTACAAAGAAGTGGAATGTAGAATGTAAAACAACCTTATCTTCTGTTTCCCTCTCTTCTACCATCTTTTTTTCCTTTCTGATCGCAACACCAGCTCCAAGGGGCGTCGTCTTTTAAAAAACGCAACTACATGTACCTTGGCCTCGAGACTTGACATTTCATTGAGAATATATATATGAGATACATTTCATTGATCTAATATCTGCATTGGTTTAGTTCATTCTCGAAGTAGTGGCTTTCAAATAAATCTAGCCCCCGAATTTTCACAATAGTGAATTGGATATTGAATGTCGCCTTTTTTCGATTTTCACACCTGGGCAATTAACTATAGGTAGCTAGGTAATGGAAAACGATTCCTTCACACTCAATTTGGCCGCTTGTTGCTTAGGTATGGGAAATTGCGATAATGAGTAGCGGATAGTTGAAAATTACAAACTGATCAGACAAGGGCAAACTGCTCTGATACTCTTTTGGTTGGGGAGTGGATAATCTAAGTGTCTAGGTACATGTACATGTAGGTTTACTACCATCGCTAAAAAGGATAGTGCATCCACAATCTCGAAAATCCGCAGAACCTTGCAAAAGGGCCAGCAAGGCCTATTGTGTATGCACTGTCATTGTATATGTACCTCGAGAAAAGTGCCGTCAATAAATGCAGATCTGTGTGCTCATCTATTAAACCGGGTTTGCGGTATGGTTGGGGCTTTGAGTTTCGGGTGAGAGCAAATATTCACTATTCAATGGTTCATTCAAACTTAGGATTCAGAGCCACCGGGGCGGGCAACGGTCTCAGAGGGGAAAGTCGAACAATGCAACAGCTATTCAGAATACATCCTACCACTAGTGTACTAGGATTGGTGGAGTAAGCCTCCTTCACTGGTCTGTGTAGAAGGCTCATCTTCCTAGTTTTTATCTGACGATGGAGGCGGCCTAGCTGGAATCCCCTCTGTTGGGCAATATCCCCTCTTTTTCTTACCTTCATTTGGCCTAACATTCATAAGACTTCAATTCGCTCAGTCAATTCTTCCACTGTGTTAGCAAGCAATTATTTTGTTTTTGTTTGAGCAAAGAAAGCAGGCATTTCGTTCAAGCATACGAGCGGCTTCTTGAAGCAGGTTTTGCGATAGACGCTTCATTATTGACTTCCTGATACATTGTACCTCTTAATGATTGCGGACGAAAAGCAGGGCTTTGGATCCCATTTGCCCAATTGAAATAGATTCGAATACCCAAGCTGGTTGACGGTACCGATAAAAATAGAGAAAGGAACATGGCGGCGAAGCTTAAAGGTAATTATCACCGACCTAGGAGTACCATTATGCACATTAAGTACTAATAGCTTGAAATAGGACGTCCACCACGCCAGCATAGTGCAGCGTCTCGTTCTGACGTCCGGAACGTCACCGATCCAATGGTGGGCCAGACAGAATGGTCCGTTGACAATCTTCCCGCAATTTTATACACTTTTAGACCGACGGCCCCTCAAGTAAGATCGTTGAGCAACTTGCCTACGAAGCCATCGCCTTGGGGTTCAGAACCGGATCTGCGCGTCTTTGACATTCTTCCGGATAGAATATCAGCCAATGTGGAAGAGTTTCGGGTTGAAGCGTGGATGCGCCTTGATAGGCGGATCCAACTTCACGATATTACGGATCGTATGCACCCGGACTTTCGTATAGCCAACAACGCGCTCCAACAGCGAGGGGTCAGGTTTCGTCAGGCTTTCAACATTCTTTCCTGGGGGACTGGCAATAAGCAGACTAAGATTGTCGCAGAGCAGCTAGAGAAGAAAATGCAAGCTAAGGGAATTGATATAAGCTTGAATTCCACCCGCGGGTTGACGCCTGGGTTAATCGATCCAGGCATGGGCGAGGCTGGTGGGAGAATTCCAGTTCCTGAGGCATACAGGCAGCGTTTTCATGCCTTCGCAAAAGAACAAGAGGAATTGATTCGGCAAGTGACAACGATGGAGGTGCCCGTAATGCTGTATGACACTTCCAGAACGCAAGAGACGCGGCAATTGGCCATAGTTCCCCCCGGTGCGTTGCAGTATGGAACTATGGGCACTGATGCTCAACCGGAGAGTGACGATAGTGAAATGACGGATATATATAATAGCAGGGGATGTGAAGAAGAGCACGAAAGTGGGTCGGATTGGGAAGAGAGAAAGGGGCATGATTCGGAAGTTGTTGGCCTCCCACTTCACGACGACTGTTACCCTGGAATTCCTTTGTACGAAGAACCATTCGAAGTCGCGGGTCCGACAACACCGACCAAAGTTCAAGTTTCGCGAGTTCCAATAGAACTTCTTATGGAGCGGTATATTGACATCCCATACTGCTGGAAGCTTGAAATGTTCAAAACAATGGATAAAATCCAAGCCGTAATGCCGCCAACCCATCCAAACGACATCCTCCAGGGGCAGATTGTGGCGGACGAATGGGAGTTATTTCCAATTATTTCTGACCCCCCCTGTGACTATCTGGACTTTAGCGACCTAGGAGACGTGCCCGCAGAATATGAGAAGATGGAGAAAGCCATGAAGTATCAGCGAGAATATGGCATTGATATTGACTATTGTGAGCAGCTGCGCGATTCGTATGGACAGAATTGTATTTAAGCGATTAGATGAGTAGACATTTTTGCTGCATTACGAATATGCTTTCGTTATGCAGATGCAGAAATTTGTCTTTGACGAGCAATCCGTTTTTCGGAGCATAAAATTGTTGCGTTATGACGATGATAACGATTTGATGACCTGACCTTTTGTTTCCTTTGACGAAAACGAAAATGTTCCCTTCGGATCTAGGAGCATGTTGACATGCTCGTGTACTTAGTTATCTGTTATGTTAATGGAGACGTTGATTTATGTGGCGGTTGAATACCATCATTTGGAGTGGGCAAATATGTATTAAATAGGTTTTATTATCAAAGGGTCTCACAGTCAAGGGAAAAAAAAAAAAAAAAAAAAGGATCAAAAGATCAAAGCAGCGGATTTGAGTAGATGTCGTCAATAACTCTCTATTTTGAAGCGTGGACGCCGTGAAGTTATATAATATGCGGCGGGATTCGATTTCAGTCGCTTCTCGTGCATGGCCTGGCAGAAATAGTCGTATACTTGTGAATTGGATTTCACAAATCATGGGCTCTCTTTCCCCCAAATACCCCTCCTGGCTTAGGATGGACTGTAAAGCAGAAAACACAAACTTACTACCGACAAAATTTACGAGCCTTCCATCATCTCATCCCAGGAATGGAAGCCATCTGCTGAACTTGCCCGGCGCAGCAATTAGAAACGTTAATGTAGCACTACTACCGCTGAATTTCGCGGATATGCCCCTTTAAACGGGCAATAGTGATGTTGATTTCAAAAAGTGACGGTATTATTTGCGAAGTAAGCCAAAGCAGCTGGGGATGATGGAAAGGGGGGTGTGGTTGGAATAAGGTTAGACTAGTTAAGGTTGCACCTCCTAGTTTTCCACGTGGCATGGAACGCCTCAAAACAACAACCTAACGTTGAGCATACCGTCTCATAGCATTTATTAACGCGTTGGCGATGGGAATATCTCATTCAGAGTGCACATATTTTATGGATGTATGCTTGGAAACTTTTACTTCGGCGATATGTTGGCCAGACTTCCACGAGGAGCGGTCAACGAGCCTGGTCCCGAGGATGAGTTTGTAATGTGTAAGTTTTTGTACAAGGCTCCAGATTTGAGAGCTATGCGTCCTAGGTTTGTAAGTTGATTCGGTTGACACTGTTGGAGGATGAAGGCTAATTCCATCTAAATTAAAATAACACACTCTACTGCTGCCACCAAGTTGGCTCTTGGGTGTGATGCCCCTCTATCGCTTTCGAGATTTCCCTAAGGAGGTCCATGGCACTCCCTGAGCGATGGAAGATAGCTGTGGCATATAAACTCGTTTATTCTCTAAGCAAAATGATATTCCTATATTGCAAAATTACGAGGTAGAATTTGGGAGAAGCTTTCATGCGGGTCACCACACGGATCAATTTGGACTGTGTTTCGAACTCTTCAGCGTTGTCGCTGCTCCTCTTTCTCGTAGCGACTTTTCCCCTTGCGGTGAATTTCGAGAAGTTACCCTATTGCCTCTATTTCGTGTTATGTAGCTGTTTGTTATGAAGAGCGAGAGGTGAATTCTTCGGATTTAGCCCAGCTGGGCGAGAGTTACTGCTATATCTTCGCGGTTCTCCTCCTTTCCCCCCCTTTCTCCTCTATACTCCACTCATCTCACGATAAACATCCTCATTCTACCCTCGTCTTTTCAACATTTCCAACATCCATTTTCCACATCTTTCTACAGAACTTGCGATCTGCACCCGTCACTCTTCGTTTTGATCCTTTGCGAGAGCTCCTTCTGGTAGCGAACCTGAGATTTGAAAGACGTGCTGCACCCAGTTTTCTTGTCCCTAAGACTGATCAAAAATCATATAACAAACTCTTGTGTTGTTATTTATTGTTTTACAAAACATAGACAGGTTTAGAATTTTTGACTAGAAGAAATTTATCACTGTCAAAAGCTTTATCAAGCTTTTGAAAGAAAGAATGGCTGAACAAAGAGTCAATCAATACACTTCTGTGTCAACTGCACAATCAGGTTCGTTAATATATCCTCACTGCTCTTGTTTGTGTGCTAATTTGGTTAAAGAAACCGCATCCACAGTGATTCATTGTCAGCGTGAGTAGATTAGTCTTCTATTCACCTCCCACAACTAAATTTGATTTTAACATTTGTTTATACTCAGATTCATCTCCTCCAGAGGCCAATCACACTTGCCATCACATTGAAACCCAGAGCTGCAGTGATGAGAACCTTCCTCCACTTTTATTCCAGCTGGATCCCCCGACTGCGCCTAGTACAACCCCAATTCCCAACCTAGTTGAGAATGGCCAGGAAGTTAAAGACCACGACGGGGCTGTGATCCGTGACTTCCCATTCCTGCCACGCTACATATCGAAGCGGCCCCTGGCCTGGCAGCTGGAGTACTGGATGAGGTTGGATTCACGACTGACATATCGGGATATCAAGGCCCGAATGACAGTTGAGAAGGCCGACCTCCCCAGTGACAACTCCCTCAACATGCGGCGAGAACGGGAGGCTCGCGCGCCTCTTGGGTTGTCATGTTGGACAATCCGGCGCGGGGCTGTGACAAGGGCCGAGATAGAGCGGGTGGAAAAGTTGAATCGAGAGCAGGTCAGTGTGTGCTTAGGCTTTTGTGCTATTCTGATATGCCTGTATCGCTGTTAACTAGTATATTCTCCAACAGGTGCGGCTAAATACCACAATGGACGTGGAATACTCTGACAAGTTAGCCGATGAGCGGGCAGCTGTGCCAGAACGTCTTCGAGCAAGGAACCTTGCTGGTACTCCGCCAGCTTGTTACCCTTTGGACATGTTTCTGGTGAACAACCTATTTCATGTCCCAAGTACCAGGCTGGCGGAGGCGTTAGCTTTGCACGAGCAGCTGTTGGAGGCGGTCGCAAACTCCAACGTCAACAACTGGCGAGAACTCCCGCTCGACCAGCTTCCTCCTTCCTGGGACCGAAGAAGGGGGAATAATCGACGAGCAGACGCGACCGCCCCGGACGACGCATCTCGAGAAGCAGCACCACACCAGGTCCAAGGAACGGGCGGACAAGCCAATCCCAGTCCAGTTGGTCCGAACGATAATGACCAACAGGTTGGGATTACCAGGCTTCTCAACCCGTCCCAGGGCCCTGCTCTCCCCGGAGCCGCCACTCTCAATGACCAGTTTACTGGAACTGGTCAGACAAATATATCGAGCGGCACCGCTGGATATCATACCTGGGAAGGGGTGGGAGATCCGCAAATCCCAGCCGCTGTGGGGTTTCCAAATGAATTTGGATATGGGTTTGGGGGTATGCGCCACGGCCTGCTAGGGTTTAGAGAGACATTTGGCTCAGACAACGATTTCGGTTATCAACCGAACCCATCTGTCACTGCGAACCCGGGTGTCGATCAGGAAGGGTACGATCCGTACATCGGCCATCACTTACCTGCCTCCATTCCCCATAATTACAACCCCTTTGGCCCGCAGCAGCAGCAGGAGATGCAGCCCATTGTCTCTAGCCCTCAGACGACCTCACCGAGTGGCCATCGCCAACCAGGTCCATCAATGGCACAAAGCGACCCACAGCGCTCGCCTGGTTGGATGGCCCCCTGTTCTGATGATATGGATGTGTCCACGCCAGTCAACCAAGAACAGGACGAAGAGGAGTTTCACCGGTTCAACGGCTCGGGCCCACATTCAATTCGCCAGAACCCAGCTCATCGCCTGAACATTGATACGGACGCTATCATGCAGCGCAATGATCCGTTTAGACGTCTTCAAGAACGGCTCGCGCCCGTTAGTTCCTTCGAAGACTTCATGGAGGACGAAATGGGGCAATAGAAACCAATTGGCTCCCTGCTTTTCTAAAGGTTGTTACAACCACCTCATGTGGTTGGAAATTAAATAGAACCTGACCGCCAAGCTACTAGGTTTAAATTTCCTCTCCAAGTTCCAAAAATCTCAACTTCCGAATGGCTTTTTCAAAGCGCGATTATATGAACTCTTTTTCTTTCACTTTACCGAAGATACCCAAAGCCATGTCTACCAAACTTTCTTCTTTGCTACATGTAAAGATTTTGCAAATTCCTTTCACGCCCAGGTTCAAAATTTCTATCGCCGTCCACGTGAACCATTGGCCCAGGGGTATTCCTGGCAGCTTACGACCATCCGACCTAGCGACAGGATACATGTCCAAGCCGGAGTTTTCAAAACGAGAGGGTAGAAAATTCTATTTAGTTATCGTGGTTACGAATAGGCTGCATACAGCGTGTTGATATCCCTATTTTGATTTTGAATTGCCCGATTCTTCCTACTCATATTCTGCTCTGTCAGTTTTCTCATTCTGGTTTTAGTTAATGTGTTTTCTAACTGCTTTACCGTGAACTTCTTCCAACTGACACGGACGGACCATAATTTGGCGTGATTGCTTATTCCAGTGATTTTGTTTCCCACCCTCATGATGCCGCTTTACGATTCTTTATGCATGTTTACTAGAGTCTGGTTCGGTTTTTCCGTTGTTACGAAATTTACTTCTGGATAACACATTGAAATTTTAAACACAATTGATTTTCTCTAACGTCTATTTCTCAGAGGTAATTTAACGATGTAAGCAAAAAAGTTGGGGCGAGTAATTCATAAAGTCACACATCAAGACATTGTAAGCCATTCGCACGTTATTATAACAAACCTCCACATCAAGCCCATTTCTGCGTCCCGGAGTTTAAAGAAGCAGGGGACTATCCAACGACGAGAACCCCGCCGCCACACCGCCCTCATCACTTTCCTTCCCCTTAGTCCTCAGCAGCCAACCTCCTTGCTCATTATGTACTAGCTCACCATCATCCTTCCAAAGTGCAGTACCAAACACTCCTAATTCACTAATAACTTGCCCACTCAACACCTCTCCATCACTGCGCAGCATTATATTTTTAGCCGCATCAGGTGGCTGGATCAGTTCCATCAGAATCCATCCCTTCCAATCCTTCTCCGGCATAGAGCGTAGGAATCCTGGGATCGCATCACGGTAGATATTGTTCCCACCGCCCTCACGCTGTGGTTTCAAGACATGGTTGACTGCCGTGGAAGGATTGAGGGCAAGTTCACGGCCACGTCCAGATGTTGAGAGGTCGTATTGCGGGGCGAACGTTGCGCGTATTTTCTCGATTGTTTGGCTGGGGGTGTTTGGGAGGAAACGGGTTAGGTGATCTGTCTCAGCATTGGGGTCTGCAAGTACTTGTTGCACCTTCTTGCAGCCAGATAGCTGACTGAGGACGGAAGGGCATTTTATCGCGGCAGAACGCTCTAAGTGCGTTCGAGCAGCCCATGCGGATTCGTCTGGGTAGTCCGCCGGTCCATAGAAACCGCGTAGGTAAATTGTGGTTACCTCAAACTTGGTGGCAGGGGCGTGGAGAGGGGCATATATTAATGGCCTTGCAGAGTTGGATGAAGGAATCGAGGTCAATTTCAGGATATCTGTCGTTATGAGTCGGAAGACAGGGATTTTGTGGAAATCAGTAAGCCGGGTGGATAATTCCAGCTGGTCGAATAAGTTTCGTTCCCCGGCTTGAACAATGAATAAAATGCACAATGGTAGTGAGGATTCTGACTTTGACGGGCCATATGCATTGTGGGCTGATGCTAGACCGCTGGCTAGGGAGGTGGTGGCAGTATTTTCTGGGGGCCTACGATCTTTCAGAATTGGATGTGTCGGGTATGTAATGGGATTTCCAGGAGGTGAGGACAAGAGATCTGCGTGCAATGCAGTGACAAGGGCTGAAAGACCTCCAAACGATGAGGATATGGTGTTAAATTCCACCTGTTTGAGGGATACTGAGCCAGGAGGCCGATGGGCGATATAGTCGGATCGGAAAAGGCCTAGTGACAGTGGCTGAACATATCCATCCTTTTTTACACTGAGATGAACCTTCCAAAGATTTGCGACGAAGTCATCCACGTCAATGAGCCTACCACATCGTCAGTAACTAATCGGAGCGTGGAAATGGATAAGTAATATAAAACTGCAAACGGACAGCAGGCGGGCGCAAATTTCCCATTCCGTTTGGTTTTCAAAGAAAGACGCTACAGAAACCAAAAAAATAAAAATAATAAATAATAAATAATAAATAAATAAATAAATGATGAAAATAAAATAATAAAAGAACAAATATAAAGAATAAAAACGAAAAACCATCTTACTCTTCAATAACCTTCCCCAACCACGCTTCATCGCTGCTGATCCTAGCATATAACTCGTTGTATGCTCTCTGAATTGAAGTGGCACGGTCAAAGCAGGATTTGGGGAAAAGGCTGGGAAAAAGAGTGACGGGCGCATTAGTTGCTAAGACGCCTTGGGGATCCAATTGCGTCTCGATAAATGACGGTGACGGTTTGACACATAGTCCATGATGTAGAGCCCATGTTTTTACCGTGGAGACAAGATATTCTTGCTGCTCAGGACTCAATGGCGGGGGGTAGTTGGCATAGACGGAGTTGTCCATTTGGAAGAAATCCAAGAGTCTTGTAACAATAAATTAATAAAATGACGCTATCTGTCTATCTGCATTTCCAGTGCAAAACAAACGCGGAACAAAGAAGGATATATATATAAATTCAAAGAGAGCAGAGACATCTCAAAGACGACCAGTTAGTTGATGACATATATCAAATCGGTCGCAGTACTCGGATTCGCAAGTGGCTGATTACTAATGTCCATCAGGGACATTCATGCATCCCCGCCTCACCGCCTTGGCAAAAACGGCGTTCGAGAACTCACATCAACATCGGCGCAACTTTGCAGCTTCAAAAGTTCCCTTTGGTAGATCTTGTCACGCTCGCTGCTCCAAGGTGCTGTGTGAAGGAGACACGAGCGATGGCCAGCTACTAGCTACTTTCAGCAACATTCTTTTGCAAAATTTCACTGTCGATCTTGACATCTGAAGCAAGACTGCAGTGCTTGGAATTAGGCGCGTAGGATTGACATCGCGCGTGTTTGCCTTGAGTGTCACTCTAGCAAACTTCTCTTTCCGGCTCCGAACGGCATAACTACTGTTTATGCTAGTTCAAGACCCAGGGAGTAACTAGCACTCATTTTGGTTGGAGTTAGTTCGTCACGCTACTCCTCGTTTCACCACTCGAATAGTTTCCTTCGACTTTGCCCAGTACTCAGGGTGGTGGATATAATACGGTTATCCTGAGACCAGGAGTGCGCCATGGAAGGTTTTAAAGATGATGATCCTTTTGACTGGTCAATTGATCAGGTTATCGCTAACCTCTGCCTGTCTTCTGCGCCGTGGACTCGTTCTTCTCTCCCTCGCCTGGACCTCACAACACTCGAAACAACCCTCCGCGAAAATGATGTCACGGGAGAAATACTACTTACAGAGATAAACAAGACGACGCTGGCTCAAGATTTAGGTTTGAAATCGCTTGGTCAGCGCGCTACAATATTTCGAGCCGTCGAATATCTACAGAAGCTGTCGCGAAAATATGCAGAGTATAGTCAGTCCCATAAGGTTGATCATTCTCACTCTGTCACAGCCACGCCCCAAACCGCCCCCAGATTGAACCTTCTCCCGGAGACCCCAAGTGCACTTCCCAACTCCCCCTCGCAGTCTCATTCCATTCCTTCTGCTGTAGCTGCGCCCTCAACGCAAAGTAGGGCGGCGGATGTTCTCGAGAACACCAACAAAGCATCGGAGGCAGAACAGCAGGAGAAAGCGCCTTTATTTACTGGCAGTACTTCATTGAACAATCGGCCAAAAGAACATTATGTCGTTGATAATAGTGGGAGAAAACGCCGCAAATTAATCCTGAGTAAACCTCAGGCTCCTATCACTGGGACCCAGGAGGAGAACTTTGGGATTAAACAATCCTATCAGTATATGGGACCTGGGAAGGTGACACTTCCAGATCTCTTTTACAACGACATGGAAGATAGTGACGACGAAACCTTTGTATTGACGGGAGCGAAATGCTCAATTGGCCAAAAGCGCTTTGTGAATAAACGTGTTCAGCACTACTTTCTGCAGGAACCCCGCTCAATACAAACTAAAGAGGGAAAGGACGCTATTGCCATATTTCCATATAGCTCTAAAATTCTGCCCTCGGGTGAGCTGCAATATTTCACACTTTTTACACAAGACAAGGGAGTTGTTAAGGTCTCGAAGGAGGACACCATATCCTGGCCTCAACTCAAACAGGAACGAGATGTATACGACTATCTGCTCGACAAGTACCCAGCTGATGAGGATCAAGGCTTACCACCTTACGGGGATTCTGGCTCAGAAAACGACTATGATTCCGAAACCTGGCAGGAGATAGAGCTTGAAAAACAGGAGGTAGAAATGGAACGGGAAAAGTCAAAAAGACTATCTGGCCCAGAAGTTGACAGCATTATCGACAGATGTGTCGAGCAATTTTTACAGAAGTGGCGGGACCATAAGCTCCCAACTCAGCATCGTAAAGCGCAACGCCTCTGGTTGTCTTCTAGAAAGTGGAATACAAAACATACTCAAACTAAGTCCGCGCAGAGCACTATTGCTCATTTAGACCGGCGTTTGAAAGCGCTTCGAAAGGCCATAAAAGATACTCCATGGTCAAAGGCGAGCGAAGTACAGCAGCAATGTCAGTCAATGGAGGAGACTGTCTTCAATCGGGAAGTACAAAAGTGGACAATATCCATTCTAGAACTTGACACATGTCCCCCAAAGCCTCCACCAGCGGCCACTCCTGTAAAGCGCCCAAAGCCTTCTATACCCGAGGACGAGGAGTGGCTAAGCTCTGAAGACGATGATGAAGATATCGAGGATATCAATGATTTCATTGTGCCGGACGAAGATGTACCTCTTTTGGACCGGACTGAGGATAACAGACAGCCTTCTGCACAAGCTCCGACCCCGTCTAGAAATGAACTAGAGAGTGAAGACGATATTGTCACGCCCAAATTTTTGCGAACACGACGCTATAAAAGCTTTCGCCCTTCAGAACCCATGTCTGCTCGACAGCATTCCCCCGACCATGTTCGGACAAAAACCTCAACCTCACCGGCGCAATTACGACAAATACAACAATATCATAAAGGGCCCGTTGAGATTGTAGATTTAACCAGGAGCTCAGATGAGGTATCCAACCACCAGTTCGATGTTAAAACGCCGCCACTTAATCCTGTTAATGATTCTATTCTTCCGCCTCCTTCACCCCGATCGCGACTGCTTAACGACTTCACCCAGACAGGGAAGAAGAGTCAAGAAACATCGACTTCGAAGGTTTTGGCAGAAACAGCGCGGGTAGATTGGTCAATGCTTGAGGAGCGTTCAGATCGTGACCAGTTGTTGAACAAACTAGTTTGGTCCATGTTTCAGGAAGAGCGTCACGAATTGCACCAATTAATCAATTCAGTCACGTTAGAACGAGCCAAAAAGCGAGTCCGGAAAGCTCTACGCAGTGTGTTACAACACTCCCACCAAATCCAAAGTGGTCACAGACACACCCTATTCTTGAGGATTGCTGCGCTCTATGTTTCTTGGCTTCGCTGCAAAAGACTATCGGCCATGCAAGGCATCCCAAAAGCATTTATTGAGGATACACTCACAGATAAAACTAGTTACGATGATTTCCACCCTAGACTCTGTGAGGTTCTCAAAGCTTTTTTAGACGAGAAGGTTCCAGTAACAAACGCCGCTGCCGGGCAACTACAGGATGTTTCCTCAAACAAAAGGAATAAGCCTGAACATTCCGCCTCCATACAGGTGCCCGCAACTGAGCAAACTCAGGAGCAGGATTTTCAAGAACTTTCTAATGGCTCTGAAGTTGAATCACGTCATACTCCACATAGGAAGCGAAAAAGAGCTGTCAAGGAAAGTCAAGAAGCCATGGATATTCAGAGAAAAGCTCAGCGTCGCGTTAAACAACAGGAAGCCCAACGGAAACGGCTTGCTCGCGAGCTAGGGGGAACAGGTATAAGCAACACAGATCCAGAACGGCAGGCTATTAGTTTTGATGACCCAGTTATATACCTTCACAGTTACATCGGTGCCCGGGTGAAACCCCACCAGTTAAGTGGAATTCAGTTCATGTGGCGAGAATTGATCAAGGATGAGAAACGTCAAGGCTGCCTTTTGGCTCACACAATGGGACTGGGGAAGACGATGCAGGTGTAAGTATGGCTTTGTTTTTCTGGTGAATGTTAGCTAACATATAGCAGGATATCGCTTTTGGTGAGCATTGCAAATGCCGCGGCTTCTGATGACCCTGCAGTGAGGAACCAGATTCCCAAAGAACTTCAACTTTCTCGCACACTCGTACTGTGTCCGTCATCATTGATTGAAAATTGGTGGGAGGAGCTTTGCATATGGACGCCCAATGACCCTACGACAAGCCGCAATATTGGACCATTTCACAAAATTTTACCCACACTTCAAATTGAGGAGCGTCTAGAGGGTATATCGTCCTGGTACAAGAAGGGTGGCATTTTGCTGATGAGTTATGATATTTTCAGAGCATTGGTTCTTAACAAAGCAACAAAAAATCGACCGCCAGCACTTGACAGCCGGGCTCATGAAAAAGTTAGGAAACACCTCCTAGAGGGACCGCGCATTATTGTCGCGGACGAAGCTCACAAGTTGAAAAATCGAAATGCAGGGGTTGCCGAAGCATGTCGGGCGTTCGTGTCAAAGAGTCGCATTGCATTGACAGGGTCTCCTCTTGCTAACAATTTGAGTGAGTACTACGCAATGATTGACTGGATCGCCCCAGGGTATCTTGGAGACTTCGTACAGTTCAAAGCCAAGTATATTGAACCGATTCAAGAAGGGCTCTATGCAGATAGCTCGCAGTGGGAACGCCGACAGTCCTTGAAGAAGCTGCAAGTTCTAAAAAAAGATATCGATCCAAAACTTAATCGAGCGGACATTTCAGTCCTAAAAGGGTCTCTTCCCCAAAAAGTTGAGTTTGTGATCACTGTTCCGTTAACCCCGCTTCAGGAGCAAGCATACAATGCTTATATTGCTGCCCTTGGAGCTTATGACAGTGTTGGGAATCCAAGACTATGGGATTGGTTGTCTATCTTGTCCCTGCTTTGCAATCATCCTGGTTGTTTCATGGAGAAGCTCCGAGATCGAAGCAAAGGTCCACAAAAGCCCCCGTCAAGCCGCGCCTCTCCTGATACCGATTCTGAAATACCAGAGGACCCTTCAATCCCTCACGTTCTCCTGTCTTCCGAGATTCTCTCTGGACTAGAGAAGATTTTCACCACTGACATGGATATGTGGTCACTCGAGTTGTCTCACCGAGCGCTAGTTGCGGATCAAATAATTGAACGCTCGATCGCGGCCGGGGACAAGGTGCTGTTGTTTTCTCATTCAATTCCGACGCTCAATTATCTTGAACAGGTCTTAAGGCAAGCAGGACGAACCTACTCTCGACTTGACGGGAAAACACCCGTTGCCACACGCCAGGTAGCTACGAAGAACTTCAACTCAGATTCCAATACTCAGGTTTATCTGATCTCTACAAGAGCGGGAGGACTAGGTCTTAATATCCCAGGAGCAAATCGCGTGATTATTTTCGACTTCCAGTTCAATCCGACATGGGAAGAGCAAGCTGTTGGGCGAGCGTACAGGTTAGGCCAACTTAAACCAGTATACGTTTATCGCTTTCTTGCAGGCGGGACATATGAGGATATTATGCATAATAGAGCTGTTTTCAAAACCCAACTTGCCTTCCGGGTTGTTGACAAGAAGAACCCCATCCGCTGGGCGTCCAAGAATGTTAGGGACTACCTCTTTAAGCCAAAGACTGTTCCGCAAAAGGATCTTTCGGAATTTAAGGGGAAGGACCCAGCAGTTCTTGATAAGATTCTAGCAGAGCAGGACAATATCAGGAAGATTGCGCTCACAGAAACATTCCAGCGTGAGGATAACGACAAACTGACTCCCGAGGAGGAAAAAGCAGTCCAGGAAGAGCTTGATGACGAAAGGCTCAAACGGAACGATCCAGGTGCTTGGCAGAAAAAGCAAGAATTGCAGGCGGCGGCGCGACGATCAGCCTTTCCTCATCCTCCGTCAGTAATGGGTAGCACTCCATACCCTTCAAGCTATACGACGCCTAATTTTGAGCCTCTCTCTGCAGCTTCTAGGCTGCCAATGACAAGTCCGGTCATGGGCCCACCTGCATTGACACCTGACACAAGCCTATTTAGACAAGTAAACCAGCCAAGGCTCACGAATGAGCCCGGCGTATTGTCATCGTTCCGCCCTGAGATCGACGGAACCATGACCTCCACACCGCCTGCACTGGCTGGAGCCACCTCCAACGGCCCATTACTGTTCGGTGGTGGCACAAATATATCTTCCATTCCGCCCTCACCAACCGGAAATATCTTCAATGGTGCAAGACCACTCAATAGCCAAACAAGTCTTAATAATACTGAGAAAGGCAATGGACCCCAAACGGAGCCCGATAATGGGTATAGACCTCCGGCAGCCGACCAGGAGATGTATGATAAGACACGTGCTGGTTCTGCCTTGGAAAAAGAAACGAATACACCTCAATCTAAAACCAGTACGTCAGGCTGCCGTCAGCAATAAACATTTGTTTTGTAGCTTTTCACTGTGTTTTCTATCGCAACTATTTTCTTGTTCCTTTTTCCTTTCCTCACGCTAAATCTCCATCCCCTCCTCTGTCCTTGTCCAGTATAGCTCTCTAGATATACTTCACATGTCAACTGAAATTCAACAACTCTGCCAAACTCTACCGGGCTACATCGCGATGAATTTGATAGAAGAACTTCGATACCCAATAAAATGGCCCAGGAAGACTATCGGTTTATCTTTCAATCCTACATCATAGAGACAGCACTCATGTACCCGGCCGGATGATAAAGAGCGCCATCCGGAACATTGCCCTTAACTTTTCTCACGCTCTCCTATATGTCCTTTCTTTTTCCTTTTGTTGTTTTTCCTTTTGTTGTTTTCCCTTTTCATGTTTCTTTGTCTTTTTCTTCTTTTTGTCCTTTTCATTACTACCCCACCCTTGTGTATTATTATTTCCTCGGAATTAGCCCAAGTTCAGGTTATTCTTCTTTGTGCCTTGATGCTCTACATGAAATCTCCTTTTGTGGTTTTTTTTTTTTTTCCTGGCCCATGTGCATGCGTGTGGGCGGTTGCATCTTTCTAGCGGGAATGGGAAAAGGAATTGGGATGGGAATTGGGGAATTGGGGAATTGACGTTTATTTAGTACCGTTATTCTCTAGTGTCATTTTTCTCTTCTAAGGAAGTTCAATGGGTTGGGCATGTATCTCCTCAATAAATCAATGCGGCATAAATCTGTTGCAGGCTTGCATTCTAGAATCGGACTGAAGAATCAACTTGCCGTACTTGGATGTAAAGTTCACACAACCACACGTCTGTGGGCATAAAAGGGTTATATCTCATCGGATTTTTTTAGTTCTCTATTTTGCCTTGATATTAAATCTCACTCTGGCAGGCAAAACACATCCCTCCCTACAGCGGAATAATTTTGTGGCCCTGTTAAGTGACTAACTCACATCCTCTCCATAAAAAATTGATACATCTCCTTCCTTACTTCTTCTGTGCCGGGGTACATCCCCTTTGGCATATCGAAATAACCATGCGGCGCGCCGGGGGGCGATTTTGACGATGGCTTCCCCACCAGCCATCTGACATTTGGCGCTCATGAAGATCGTGTCGTCGAAGAGTACATCTTCTGTTCCATAGGTGAAGAAGGTCGGAGGTTGCTTTGTCTTGGCTGGTAGGTCAAAGAAATTGAAGTAGAGAGGGGAAATGGAAGGGTCTTTGAAGTTTGTGACGGGATCAGGGAACTGGCTTCCTGTATTGTGCAAAGGAGGTTTTGTTGGTAAGTATACTACTGTTCTATCTGTATTTTCTTTCTTCTTTTTATGTGTCTTTTCTTCTTTCTATCCGGACGTCCCTTGGTTCGTCATATGCGAAGAAGCTGGTTTGCGGGAATTACGTACCCTGCATTTATCCATGAATTGAAGGCCGATGACGAGGGGAGGATCTTGTTTCAAATTGAACATAGAAGGAGTCCATGAGACGTCGAAAACGCCGAAATGAAGAGCCAGCCCTTTGAGTTTGAATTGGGAGAACTTTGGATCCTTGTGGCTAAGGAGGCGCTGAGCAGTAACCATAGCAAGGTGGCCACTGGCAGACTACATTTGCGAGAGTTGGTTAGAGATGTCATGGCTGGAATTGATGTCACTTCTCTGCACTAGCTTTTCTCTTTAGCAACAGACAATGCAGAAAAGAATCTAGAATATTCAGAGAAGTAGGTTATTGGGAGTATACCTCTCCACCAAGCAATTTCAGAGGTGGCTCAAAATAGTAGCTGGCACAAGAAACCATCGCCGGAAACCGAGTCCTCCCTAGTCCAAGACAACAGTGATAGACTGTTTGGCTAAACCTTCCTGCGGAAGGTACACATATACTATACATACAAGGATATACTTTTGGCTTCTAGGGGCTTCTAACCCGGGGTTACAAGATCCCCTACAGAAGATCACCAGAAAAGTCACCGAGGATTTGAATTTTTAAGACCTGGGGCGGATTCTAGACTCAACTACTGGCTCGGACCACCAATTAATAAGTAATTATTCGTTTGAATCGCCCTAGCTCGCCAGGACACCGCAATACAAGCAATGGGGGCCTGAGGAGTCGTCTTCACAGAGAGCGGGCACGGTTTACGTTACCGCATAGTTTTGTTAAGTTATGAGACGGCCACTGAGAGACCTTCTGGTGAGGACCTGCATAGAAACCCTGGTGACCGAAGACTGAGCTCATTAGTGGATAGCGCGCTGGTTATCACAAAAATTGTTTTTCGAGCAAGTGGATTGGAATTGGATGCAACTAAAATGGCTGTAACGAATGGAAAAGCGGTTTAAAACAGTCTTTGCCAAGAAGTCCACATCTGGTTCCCATCAAGGCGAGTGTGGTTGGCAAGAGTAAAAACTGCAAACATGATTAAAAGGAATATTTGAAGGTAACAAATGGAAATGGAAAGAGAGAGTAGCAAGTAGGTATTAAATTACGGAAAAGAAAGGAAGGATGAAAGAAATTGTAAAGATTGTGTTACAGAATTTCCCAACAAATTGAAGACAGTATATGCAGGAGCTGTAGGTAGATGGGAGTTCAAGGTCGAAACGATTTCTTGAGATGAAAATATAGAGTAGCAGGGCAAGGATTTAGTGCAACAGAAGGAGCTGCACTATTACTGAAGTAATTTCTCCAAATCGGCAATACGTGACATCCGATCCTCACCCTTTCGGTCTAGTTTCTCTCTGAACGCCGTCGTCATCAGCGTACGTTTCTCTTTCTGCTTGTGTAGGACCCGATCTTCAATACTGTTCTCCATCACAAGACGCCATATAGTCGTTGGTCTTTTTTGTCCTAGACGATATACGCGGTCAACAGCCTGGTCTTCAATAGCTGGAGCCCACCAGCTGTCGGCAAGGATGACTTGGTTTGCTGCGACGAGGTTAAGGCCGACACTGCAGACGTTTAAACTAGCAAGAAGCACGGTGCAGTTTGGGTCGTTTGATAGAGCCTTCATCGCTGCGTCTCGTTTGGCAGAGCTCATTCTGCCATCTATGCGGGCAAATGTGATGCCATTACGCGCCAGCTGGGGCTCGACTATGTCAAGAAAAGACACCCATTGGCTGAAGACGACAGTTTTCGTATTGGGTGCTTGGCCCTTAGCTGTGAGGATTTTCAGCAGAGCTTCAATCTTGCTGCTGGTAGTTTCGGGATCGATGTCAATTTCATTTGTATCTTCGCCAAGGTCTGCCGCAGGGGCAACTAGACTTTTGCAGTCTTCGATTTCTGCCCGGCAAAGTGGGCATTTGTGTTGGCGCTCAATGGCTTGTTCGATGCAAGAATAGTCAAACGTGTGAGCGCATGGAGTAATGACAGGCTGACGGAGGGTGTCAAGGCAAATAGCGCACATTTCTTGACTTTCGATTTTAAGTTGAAGAAGAGCTTGGAGTGCTTTGATATTTTGAGGGGTTAATGCTACCACTTTGTGCTGTTCTAGCAGTTCCATAAGGTTATTAATGCGGTTTTGGCAAAGCTTCCAGTGATTGCACACTTGGCGCATGCGGAGTAGAACTTCGAGGAGAACAGAATACGTTGCACCTCCATTCTTGTTATTGGCATTGGCTTGATAGTCCAAAAGGACTCCCTTGGCTTCCGCCCTAGACTCTTTCTTAGCTGGTGTTGGGACAAAAGATAATTGGATTGGATATGCTAAGCACTTACTGAAACATATCGTATTTCTCCTGTTCATGTGGAAGAAATTTGACGTGAAGCACATGGGAAGAAAGTGGTGGAAGACGGAGATTGATGAAATTCATGTCCTTCTTCCGTCGTAGACAAATGGTACCCATCAAGGCCTGGAGAAGAAGGTTCGCATTTGGATCACAAGCAGTAAGGGGACGAATTACAGCGCTATTGAAGACTGTCAGGTCTTCGAGGCCTCCTGAAATTCCTAGAAATTTTACTTGTGAGTATAAATCTTTTAGGTTATTGACGATGGGTGTTCCGGTGAGCGACCATCGAGAATCGGCTTCCAACTTGCATGCTGCGCGCGCTCCTCGGGTACGAGGGTTTCTAATCGTATGGCCCTCGTCTAGGACGACCCGGCGCCAACGTAAAGAGAATAACCCTTGCGAGGGCTTGGAATTCGGTAATTTGTTCTCAATTGGAGCATATTCCGAAGCAAGAGCTCCATACGTAGTAATAACCACATCATAGTTATTGAGGTTCTTTGCCTCCTTTTTACCCACTCCGTGATAAATCAAAACTCTGAGGGCCTGATCGTTGTGAATATGTTGTGCGATTTGATCTCGCCAATTGCTCATAACGCCAAGAGGTGAGATAACAAGGGTCGTTTTCGATGATTCTTTTGTTTTCTGGGCTGAATTAGCCAATATAAGTGATATAATCTGTACTGTTTTCCCGAGGCCCATATCATCCGCTAGAATGCCACCGCTGGCAAGAGGTGGTTCCGTTGCCGTTGTGTAGTTAGTCGCGATGTTTGTAAACATGTTGCCAGACCTCTTCCAAAGCTGGACAACGTCTCGAGACCCTTTACTTGGGAACTTTGGAGATTCTTTGTCCAGCATCCATGCAAGACCTTGACGTTGATACGGAAGCAATTCTGTGGAAAGAGCCTTCGGACATGATGCCATGGGCATCCTCGCTAGTTCCTCTTCGTTTGTTCCAAACTTTTCCACAACTTGGCCCATCTCTCTAGGATTAAAGCTTGCGCTTTGGCCGATGATATCTTCCAGGGAGGCTATTTCCTTCTGAGATTCATTTCCATTTGGAATATATAGATTTGTATAGGTTGGGTTTTCAGAAGCTTGCCACTGTTGGCCTTTGCCTTTTGCTAGAGGGCGGGCTTGTTTCCCGGCCTGCTTTGCAGCCTCTCTTGCGTACGCCGCACATTGCTTCGCCCTTTCCCTTCGGAAGTGTTTGATGGTTTTGAGAGGAAGGCGATCGCGCTCCATTTTCCTCATAAGTTCTACCTGTTGAACTGGCTGGCTAGTTCCGTAGAGTTTAAGCTCGATGGGACAATCAAAAAAACCCTTGTCACCAGATAATATGCCTTCTACGAGCAGCGATCTAGAGTCCTGAGCTTTTTTTTAGCAAATCCCTATGTCTTTGATTGCCAGGTATACTTACCATGTATGGTGCTAACTTGCTAGCAATAGTGCGAGGAAGATGTCCAATTTGAGTCCCCATAACATTATCAACCCGGATAGCATTTGGATCATAACGATTATTTGGCTCTCTTTTGATTGCTACATATTCCCCAGCCGTTGCGTGCCCGTTGTAGTATCTAAGGCCAACGACTTTTGACGAGAGAGTGTCTGCGAACAGTTAGTAATTGAACGGAAAGGATATGAAAAAGGCAAGACATAGTAGATACCATATAGCTGGAAATTAGTAAAAGCATCTTCATCCAAACTTTGGGCGGCGTCTACAATCTCAGAGGCACCCGTTTCGTCCTCATCTGCCTGTGTACCCCTTCCCTGGCTAAACGAATGATTCTGAGAGGACTCGATGCTTCGGTGTCCGGCAGAAGTAGAATTGGGAAATCTCGCTGCTTTGCGTGGTTGATCGCAGGAGTCCGTGAGATCGATAATCTCAATCTTCCGCTTATCTCGGGATGAAGCCATCTGCGCTCGACATCAAAATGTGATGTCAAAAGCGGGCGAGCTCCCCTACTTGGATGCCAAATGTGCGTGGAATGCTAAGGGAATGCGATGGGCCAATAAAATCGTTTAATGAGTAAATAAAATAGGTCTCTATGCGGAAGTGGGTGAGATGTGGATTGAATTTTTGTCTGCGCGCAGCTTGCGAAGAATTGTCCTTCCCTCGAAGGCGCGTGTTGAAGCCCCTGAAATAAAAGCGCGCTACGCCGCGATGTCACGTGAATAACCTTAATTCTGGTCCTAAAAACTTTATTTTGACCCCATAGCTTTCCCTGCTCCAGGCAAAATGGTAGTTATCATGATATGGCGTGATTATATAAATCTTTGCTCATCACTAAGATGAAGAAGTTGAAGCTATCAATATGTCAACAATGGCCAGCTGATAATCTGTTTTGACACTGTAAATTTTCGGTGCAACTACTCCAATACTGAGTCGGGGCAAGCGAACCAATAAATAGAGCGGCTTTTTTCTTTCGTTTTTCGGTGACCCTACTGCCTAAATAATTGGCCTCTGTCGAAACATGACCATGATTGGAGCTATTTAGCGAAGCCCTGTTCAGCTCGTGGAAGCTTTTGCCAACAACCGCTACTTTTACATCCCTCTTCCTAACGGTAGTCGGATACGAAACCAAAGGAACTACGAATTCCTTCACGCCAGCCTACCTAGTCTACACATAACAATGAAACATGGGTGAAATTGTTATTCCGCCATCGTACCTCGTTGCGGTTCGGCAACTTCAGAACAAGTATGATGAAGCCATTGCTGCTGGGCGGATCCGGCCGGTTCTCTTCCCCCATAGCTTTGCACCCTTGATCATTCTTGTTCTCTCACTCCTTGTGAAAACCCCCCGGAATGGGCATTTTACAATCATCAAATACCTGTCGTTTGGCTCTGTGATTTGTTCAGGATTATTGAACATCATCCAATCCCGAATGTACCTTGGAGGGAATGGATGTGTTGTCGGAATCGCTTCCTTCTGGTATATAATGTTGAGTGCGTCATTGCTAGTTTTAAACGATCCTCAAGGACGTTTCAAACGCATTGAACGAACGACAATATTTTCACACAATAGAGAAAACTGCTCCAGTTGTTCTGAGAATCACGTTTTAGCGACCATATCCAACAGATCTCTTGAAGATAAAGAAATTGGAAACACAAAATTCCGATTGTCACGAACTACAAAGAAGGCCCTGCAACCGGGAATCAAGTGCAACCATCGCCCTGATGCAGGCAGCGAGATGTATATTTTGCGGTGGCAAGCGTATCCAAACACATTTCCTCATCGTTTGGTATGGGTCTGGGACCTTATTGTCAATATGCGGGGCCCTGGCTGGAATTGGCGTATTTCTACAATTCCCCTGTTACCAAAATCAGTTTCTTCTCACCTCGATCCGCTTTCACGTGGAGTTAGGAAGCCCGAAATTATGAACTTGAGTAATACCAAATCCGCCGCCAAGTCCGCACTATTCCAGATGACATGGAGTTATCTTGGCCTAGACGCTCTAAAAGTCATCATGATGCTCGATCCCTATTTCTGGGGCGTTGTTTCTTCCCCACCCCCATTTCCTCTTGACTCCTTCGGCACGTTCGGAAATATTACTACCCAAGCCTATCGACTTCTCCTCTCAGTGATGGGCGTTATATGTGCAGTAGAATGTACGGCTTGGGCTATTTCTCTACTTTCTCTTAGCATTTCATTATGGGTCCCTTTCGCTCGCACATGGACATCCATTCCAATTGAAGCCCCATGGTTATATCCAAAAATATTCGGACCTTGCTTTTCCTCGCTTCTAGATCACGGGCTCATCGGCTTCTGGAGCAAGTGGTGGCACCAGGTTTTCCGCTTCAACTTCCTCCAGCCCAGCAATTGGATCTACGCGCATCTTCCACAGCGACTCCAAAAGCCATTCGTAAGACAATCTCTCCAGCTTTACATTGCGTTTGGTCTAAGTGGCCTATTGCACGCCGCCGGCAGCTACACGCAACTCGCCCCAACAAAACCTTTCCCCAACCTTTTCTTGTTTTTCTTCCTTCAAGCCCCGGCAATCATGTTTCAGGACTTCGTTGCCAAGAATATCGTTACCCTTCTCCCGTTTAACCCTCCGCGTTGGCTCCGTCGATCGACAAATTTCATCTTCGTTGTGACATGGGCGTTTCTAATTGGACCCTTGGGTGCGGATGATTTCGCAAAAGGCGGAATATGGTTGGTTGAGCCGGTTCCACTCAGCCCCATTCGTGGTTTGGGGTTTGGTGCGGAGGGTCAAGGCTGGTGGTGCTGGAAAGGGCAGGCCTTTAAGCAATGGAGAGGCGAGAAGTGGTGGGATGTTGGGATACGGATTATGTGAAATCCAAGTTGAATGTGTCAATAGACCTACAAGCTCGCTGTGGATATACATTTTCCAGACATGCGCAACTTATATTGGCCAGTTTCAAATACTCTCATGATATGAATGGAAAGGGGAGAGGTGGCCCCTTTCCGTGGCGTGACTGAATTTTCCTCAATTAAGCTTTCGACCTCTCGATAGAAAAGGCGGAGGAATTCTTTTTCGGTATCCCGAGCATGCTTTTCAAATATTTTTTTGGCTACTTAAGTCTCCTGGGGGAAACTCGCAGATAGGGTTGAAGAACCATCCCAAGTATGCTATTTTTCTCCAGTTGCCCCTAATTCCACCCTATTTCAAGATTTTTATAGATTAGACAATACATGACTTATAATTAGATAAAATGACGTTGTTCGATCGAGAGATGCTGTGCGATTTCCAAGTTTGATCAAATACGTAGGTAATTATTCGTCTTCCTCCTCGCCTTCATCGGTGTCTGGTTCAATATTCAGCGTGGGAATCTCATCATCAGATCCGTCATCACCTTCCCCGGAACCACCACTCTTAATTGCACTGGTATCCTTGACAGGTAAAATGGAAGCCTCCTGTCTCGCGTCATCTGCACCGCAACTCCTTCTCTCAATTTTCTCTGTACTGGTTGCTGCAATTTGAGAATTTTGTCTAAGGATTGATTCAATAGCTGGTGCTGGTTTATCGAAGTCCGTGGTCCTTTCTGTTGTGGGAACAGCAGGTATTTGTCCCGTAAGAGTCGTCGCCGAGGAATTGAAGGATTGCATCGTTTCAACACGTATTCTTTTAGTCTGTGAAGTCATCAGATTATGAGATGCCGCTGGTGGAAGTGCTTGCTCATCAGTCATTTGAATATCATCCAAAGCTCGTTTGTTTATTGGCCGAGTGAGTTCCTCAGGTACCACATTTGACGACGATACGAAAGCGGCCATTGACTTCGGTTTAGATTCGTCTTCTTCATTCGCCAGTTCCCATTCGCTTGATTGAGAGACTCCTATTAGGACGGGCATCCTTGGCCGTAGAAGTGATTCAACTCCAGGCGTTTCTGGGTAACATCGAGCAAGAAATGGGATAATGCTCGGGGTATTGCAACGACTAGACGTTGCTGGGACGGGGTTGAGGACGCTGGCCATCATGATAGATTTGCTCCTTGTTATGATCGCCGTTCGGTCAATTTCGGTCCGGAGATACGGTGGTGTGTGTTCCGTCGGAAGGGCTGTGAGGAGGCTTGTAAGAAGATCCTCAGCCGCACCTTTTAACCCAGGGAAAGAATGTTCCGCGTCAATGGTGGCTTTTGGGTTTAGATTCAGGAAAGAGTCTACATTGCTTGTCGACGGGTTTGGCTTCGCGGCAGACTTGGCACTAAGGTGCTGATTAACGCCAACAGCCTTGTTTTCTGAGGAAGGCAGGAGGTCCTGGCACGCGGATCTGATGATTGATGCCAAGGATGTTACACCAGGTCTTGTGATGGACGGCCCAATGATAGGCATGACAGTCTTTATTATTTGGTAAACGCCAATCCGTATGTTGACATTGCCGCTTTCAGCTTCAAACGTCCAAAGAGTTTGATCAAGACAGCTTTGTGCAATTGAGATACTCCCTAGACCAAATCTTTCGACGACAGCGCGCAGCAGATCTAGGGTCGCAACGTGAAGTTTGGGTAACTCAGCCCAAAGGCACTCCCGTTCCTCCCGGCCAACTTCGAGATTTAATTCTGTCCCACGCTGTGAAGCGTCATCATCTGATAAAGGGGAAGTCACCGAAACTAAGCGATTGGACACATCAAGTATGGACCCTAAAGGCATCGAGATTGTGGAGCTAGTTGGCATTGCAACGAATTCAGTAAGCAGCTTTAGAAGACTTTCTAACTTCTCAGTGCCAGCATATATACCCTGCCAGGTTGGAAACCCTAGCGCGTCGGGGCTATCATCTCCAACTGGGCGATTGTAATTCTTTGATCTAGATGCTTGGCGTAAGGAGTTATCAACAGACTCCCACTGTTCTACAACCGCTCGGAATAGGTGATCGCTTGTCTGATGTATGGACGATATTGTAGCCCTGCAAGCCTTAAGCCATTCTTCTCCACTGGTATTCTTTGGAGCACATTGATGTAGCGCGATAAATAGCTGCTGCGCCAGGCGTACCCCAGATTTTGACAATGAACCAGGAACGCCAAACGACCCCACGAGGGGCAGAATCAAGCCGTGGATTTGGGAAGAGAACGGGCGAAATATGGTAGGATGATGAGGAAGCAATTCGAGAAACACATGCAGCACAGTTTCAAGCAATGGAGTAATCCGTTTCAGTTGCCTCGCTTGCCCGGCTACTGGCTTCACAGAAACTAAATTCAAGCAAGATGTAATGAAAGTGGGCAGCGACGGTGTCGTTATTTCTCGCACCAATGTTTGGTATGGATAAGTTAGTCGGAATATGCGAGTCAAGGTAATGAGGCACAGTTTTTTCGTTGACAGTGGGTCAGATCTCTGTGTCAGCGGTTAGCAGGAGTTGGGATGAACAGGATTAGGTGCACGAGACGAGAAAACGAATGAAACTCACCGCTAGAATACTTAGCAGAGCCCGAACCCAAGCCTCAGAACCGCGAAGAATCTCCCACTGGCCTGCTTCTATTACTACCTTCACAAGGATAACCGCAGTCCAGCGTCCTTCAACGCGATGATCTTGAAGCAGACTCGTGATGCGGGCTTTTAATTTCTGTACAAGCAATGCAGTATCTGGCTCCCTTGGATTTTTTTTCTGGGTTTGAGGAGCCGATAATATACTTCCACAATCAGCGAAAGCTGTCGCAAGGTAGATTGCAATCGACGGGAGCTCTTTCGCCGGTGTAGTAAGTAAGCGGTGCGTCGCGGCGCGGAGGCAAGTAGGAGCTGCCATGGCGGGCGGCGGAAGGATTGAAGCTGGAAATTGAATAGTCTCGGAATTTAGAGAAACCGGTCAACGAGACATTTCTTAGCGATTCATAAGAGGCGCTTTATGGCGCTTTCAATCCCAAAATCTGAGCGGGGATAAAAGTTGAATTTTTTTTTTTGCGGAGATTGGCGCGGGACCAAGGTTCTTTGCCGCGTCCCTTGGCGCTAAGTTGGTTATTACCGCCAAGCGATCGTCATCTGCCGGGGCTCGGTCTCATTTAGCTTGTTTCTGTCCTTTCTGTCCAGGAACTGAAACGGCCTCTGGTATTCTTCTGGCTACACGTTTGTCCTAGGATCTTAGCACTGCTTTTTTTTTTTTGGTTTTACCAACCATGTTTCTGATGTGGTGACAGTTCCATCCACTGAGCTTTACAAAACCATGACTGTATTTGGCCCTTTGCCTCAGTTCGGAGTTTTAACCCTAGCTCTACATCTCTGTGATACAGAAGCAGGCCCGATGGCACTAACAAGGTGAACTATGTAGGGTCGAAACCCCGAGAAGGGGCAGCGCTATATTGAGTCTCTGGATACCGCTAGATGCAACGATAGTTGGAATGACGTTCCAGAGCTCGTTCGAAAAGTTGAAAAGCATTGCCCGGAGCGAAAATGTACTGTTGACGTCTTGTCCCTAATCCCCACAACAATATTTACTGACACTCGGGTCCTTTATTAGGTCTGGTGGCGGTTGCGCGTGCCGAGTGTCATGTCGCAGCCTACCTGAACAAGCGACCTACCACTTCCTCCACCGGCTCGGGATCCACAGAGACAAAGCTCCATGATCTCATACCAGGATTGCTGTCTGTAATGGGGGAGGAAGGGAGCCCGCCACAGGATGTTTTCCAAGCGCAAGTGTGTTTGGGCTGGTTGCATTGGGCACTATCAGAACCTGCACTGGCGGCCTCCCGTCTGCCCAAAGATTTCGATATAACACTGCATATGTTGTCTGGGGATCAACAGGTCCTATCGCCCTGGACAGAAGTCTGCATTATAAAGGGCGGATATATGAAGGGTATAGATTCCTTGGATTTTAATGCTATATTACGGAACTCATACTAACTCGTTTTCTAGGCTCAGCTCAGGCGTTAGTTTCGGGGTCAGAGGATGCGATACGCACTTTCAAATCAGTTTTACCTTGGGTTTCCGCTCCGGTTTCGAACTCCCCGTCAAGTCCACAATTCCTATTCTGGTCTGAACAGTTATTGGCTAAGGCCGCCCTCATTGCAAGCGAAGCTGCATCCGAAGGTCCCCTGGCAAATGAGCAAACTGTCGAGTTCGCCTTGAAGGCATTCCGGCTCTGGTCATCCCACCGTAACGTAAAACAAGGTGACCCGGCATCAACTGTTTTAAGCACTGCACCAGCGAGCCCAGGGTCAAGAGCTTCGATATGGCAAACCTATTACACGCTTTTATCATCGACTTTGCGCCAAGTAGTTTACACTTGTCCGTCGGAGAGCCAGAAGCGTGCCCAATTGACAACGGAATTCCGTCGTGTGGAGGCTATTTGTGAAAATATTGTGATTAAAAATACAACCTTTCCAAAGGCAGAGGTTAAAAATAGAGAAGTTGAGGCCTGGGTAGAACAGTTCATCCAAAATTGGGAGGTCCTTTCTGGGTCAGAGTGGCGGGACAACGATTTCGGGGAAGGTGGACAGGATGCTTTTTCTCGCAACGTTCTGGATGTGAGTTGTTGTCCCAAGAGCGCCACTGTTATTATGCTAACCCCGCCCCTCCTTAGATGCTGTATCGAGCAGCTACCATGACATTTCATTCTACCCTCATCCTACGCCGCCTTTTCCATGTCCACGCAGCTTTAGCCGAGTTTAACCTTGCGATCAAAGCACTAGAAACATACATCGATCTCACTACTAGCGCAAAAGCGCGGGCAAAAAAATCTCCGGAGGCTGCAGGTGAGCTGGAGGACGATGAGATATTCGCCCGCACACTTTCCGAGGGAATCACCATGCTATCTTGCTTCGGCTCCTATAAGGAAGCGGAAAAAGCAAAGGAATTGACCGATATGCTACAAGAATTACTCAATGAGCTGATGAGTAACAGCTCGACGACCGATTTACCCAACGGACGAGTTTCACCAGAGTCAATCACTGCCTCTTCCCATAGCAGAGCTTTGTCTCCCATAGCAGCTTCCATAGCATATCGGGCTATCGGAATAGGCCTCGCGAATTGGGCAAGATGGACTCCAATCAATGAAGCACGAACTGACATCCAAGCTGATGCTCTAGCTGCATTTGAAAAATCCCTGGCTTATGAGTCCCCAGAGGGCACAGATGTGGCATTGTCCTTCGCATTTGGACTCCTGCTTGCAGAGACTAGGGACCTTAACGGCGCGATTGATTGTGTTCGGGCCGCATTGGTGTCGGCTCAGTCCGTGGACGCGGGCGCGCATGGACAATCGCATTGGACTAGTACCAAGGAGCGAGATCTTGTACCGCTATGGCATTTACTAGCTCTTTTACTAAGTGCAAAACAAGATTTCGAGGCTGCAAGCAAAACATGTTATGCCGCTTTTGAAAGCGTGCCAAGCGTCGATTTTCTTCATGAACAAAATGAAAAGCTTTCTCAGAATAAGCGACAAGACCTCGGGGAGAAATCAGCTCATTGGCTGTCAGCTGCCGCCATCGAGATGAGTAGAGGCACACCTAACGAAATGGAAGCACGAGAGAAAGAGAGCATTATTGAGCTACGGATTACTCAGCTTACGCTGCTGGAAATACTGCACGGCCCAGAGTATGCACTAAACCTTTCTGAGGAATTGCTCAGCCTTTACGGTCGTTTGTTCACGAATCCCGAACTTGATAAAAAAATCGAACCAAAAGGGTCGGATAATCTCATACCCCCTAAGAGTTCAGCGGGAACAACTCGAAGCTTCCGCGGTAGTATTTTCGGCCGAAGGAAGAGTGTTAAATATGGAGAGAAAGACAACCCACTTAGGGCAGAAGCCAATATTACCCCAAGAGTACCATCAACCTCGTCTGGAGGTGTTCCTACTGATCCAGACGCACCAACAATTCAAGTTACGGATGAGGATCGGTTTGCATCAAGCGAGCATCCTCACTCAGAGGCCACCGGTGGTTCTGCACGGCACAAAATTCATCGGCGGGACGGTAGCACGAAATCTATACCACCACGCAGCTCAGACAAATCAGTTCGCTCAACTGGCGCAAATACAATCAAAAAACACCAACGTCAACATGCGGAGGAAAACTCATCGATATCCGCCAACGCACTCCCCCAAGTCCCTCGAAACGAACATCCACCTCAGGGTCATGTATCAACACATCATGACAATCATAAAACGCACGGCAAAGAGTTCACTTCCTCCTGTTGTCCACCAAGAAATCTACTCCGATGCGGCCTACGTTCACGAAGCTTTCGCTTCGACTCCCCTACACGCGCACTCACTCGGTTTCCGAAAGTCCAGACGCAAATACACGCCCATGGTTTGCTGATTAAAATATGGTTGTTCATCGCAGGACTTTATCGACGTGCAGGACTCTTCGAGGACGCGCTAGAAGCCTGCAATGAGGCGTCAGAACAAGCCAGGTGTGTGGAAACACTCATTGCAGAACAGGAGTCTTCAGCGAGAGCTTTCGCCGACGCAGGGTGGGGAGGCACAAAGAGTTCAGACGAGCTTTGGGGGGATGTGTACGCTGAAAGAGGCAATCTCGCGCTGGCGCAATCGCACCCATATGACGCATTCAACCATTTTGAAGACGCTCTTATGTACTATCCAGACCACCCATCAGCCACAGTAGGGCTGGCTAACCTACTTTTGGATATCTACGATCAAACTTTGCCTCCCGAGAAGCCTGAACCCGACCTGGACACCATCACATCTGGTGTTTCTCTCTTGTCATATTCGTCAAAGCTCAAAGCAAACTCCCAGACGCACGACGGCGAGCAGACCAGTGGCAACAGCGGCCCTTCTCTATCACAGGAAAGCACACCCGAAGCCCTGGATCGGCTTGCTGCACGTGATAGGGCGTATGGCCTTCTATCCGCGTTGACCAAACTCGGGAGCGCGTGGGATAACTCCGAAGCGTGGTTTGCGTTGTCAAGAGCCTATGAGCAAAGCGGGCAAATTGATAAAGCTAAAGAAGTTCTCTGGTGGTGTGTGGAGCTTGAGGATAAAAAACCTATCCGACATTGGTGGAACGTTGGCTCTGGAGGATATGTCCTATGAGCTACTATCGATGAAGGCACTCCCTACAAGAGCTTCAGTTATTTTTTTCTATTGAGCAATTAATGTCACATTTTACCCCTGACCCAGTTTTCGCTTGGTGTAATTTTTGTTCGTATTAGATATTATTTCCTTGGGCACAGGAATACCCACTCCACGTTTTGAGCGACATCTGTCTCATGAAAACGCCTATTTGCCCCGTGTCTATGCTTTGAATGTGACTAAGTTGCTTCTTTTCGTGTTCAGCAAGTATGATATTGAATCGTCTATATAATCCAGATCTGCTGACATAGAATACATTGCTGTCTTTCCCGAAATCTTCATTCACTGTGAATAAAGCATCAATTTCTATCAGCATAGAGAAGAGAATATATACAATTTTTTAATGTAGCCGCCAACCAGCACTCTTCAAAGCTCGAAACGTGCAATTAAAGACGCCTTTGGCAGAGTCTTGCCCATCTAAACCGAACACATATTTATCGACGTGCCGCAACAGGTTTCCAGGCAGAAAATTTCGGCCTTACGCTGTATATTGCGAAACATATTGTAAGTACAATTGTTCTGAAAGTGGAGGGCCAGAAAATGCAAACTCGGTACAAAGGAAGACTCACGTAGAATATGGCTTGTACGCGCCACGACTTAACGTCATGGTGGGCTGATGCTCTGGCAATTCCCATGATCGCACGCCAGCCTGTAAGATTGCATCTTGAGTCGGCGGCTTGTCGACCATGTACGCTAACCAGGCGTGCCTAGGAAGTAAAGATAGAACAGTACGTAAGAATTCCATTATATTCCCGGGAGTGGAGTGTGTAATTGAAAGGAGGTTCAGAAGATTGATTGAGGATTAATATATACCAGCCAACGTCAATTTGGGATGCGTCGAATTCTTTCTCCTTGTAATCCACCCAGCGCGTTCGAACTAAAGCGAGACGAAAATCAGTTTACGCATTCAAAGCGTGTTGCAGATGCACAACTGATATTTCTTACGTGGGAGTTCATCCATGTTCTCATAATATTTGTTTCCGTATCGGTCCATAGCTATCAACGTCCCAGCTTTGGTATCGCCTATCAATGGTTTCTGACGTGTTAGCCATCTGTTCCACGGCGCGGAGCTGTGGGGAAGGAGACAAACCCATATACTATTATCCAGCACCAAAACCTTAGGTGAGCATATCATAAAGCCAGCCAGCTTGGATAACCAGGAGGCAGAAAAGAGAATATTGTACGTGCAAGTGAAGCGTACCTGCATCTGGTGACCGTATTCCTGTTTAATGTGTATGTGGTTAGTATCGGCATTGAGAACGGCAAACGGGAGTGGACGAACTTTGAAACCTATCCGCCACAAGTTGCGGGCAGTTCGGAGAATTGTCGACATCTTGAAGGCTGCAAAGGTGGTATTCCGTTGACAATCTTCCAGTCAAGCTGAGTGATTTGAAGTTGGTGATGTTCGATGTCATGCTGCCGAAAGAGGCTTAGCGCCGGGATTCCCAAAAGAATGCCGTTGCGGCGAACTTCCCGCCCGAATTTACATACATAACTATCAAATTCTAGGCTTCATGTTCCTAGCCAATTAAGGGAGCATGTATTCAATTGGCATTATTTTCGCATTTTCTTCACAATGATAAAACGTATCGGGGTGCAAACCCTTCGTTACTCATGCCGCAGGCCCCCCATCCCGCGACGTTCTGTCCGGAAGTTCTCCTCTCATCCAAGCCACACACAAACCACGTCCTATCCAGCGTCGTCCCTTGGTAGCATAACTATTGAGTTGGACAATATTGCTCCTAGATTTGAAATCCAGGCGTCCCAGATTAACATTTTAGACTCTCCTGCTAGCTTCTACGACGCTCTGAAAGTAAGTGGGTTAAAACGCTTTGTCTGCTCCCTACGGCATTAACAAAAACTGCAATTGTAGGATAAAATTCGAAACGCCAAAAATAGAATATATCTTTCGACTCTCTATATTGGAAAGACGGAATTCGAGCTTATCGAAATCATAAATGAAGCCCTACGTCAAAACCCGAAGCTCCGAGTCTCGATTCTGACGGATGCCCTACGGGGTACCCGCGAAACTCCAAAACAATCCTGCGCATCACTTTTAGCGTCCCTAGTTGCAGAGCATGGATCGGATCGCGTCGAGATACGGATGTTTCACACCCCTAACCTTACCGGATTGAGGAAAAGATACGTTCCGAGGAGAATAAACGAAGGATGGGGCCTGCAACATATGAAGCTGTATGGGATTGATGATGAAATAATATTATCCGGGTGTGAGATCACTGTTCCGATTTACGTATAAGGGCGTACCTGTTCTAACACATATATTAGAGCGAACCTCTCAAATAATTACTTCACGAACCGATTAGACAGATATCATGTCTTTAACTCTAAACCGCTGACGGATTACTACTCCCGAATCCATAATTCAGTATGTAGCCTCAGTTTCCTCGTCCTTCCAAACCCGGGGGATAAGGCCGGATATGCTCTGTCCTGGCCAGCGTCTAATGGCGCCCCGTCGCCGCTTGATGATCCGGAAAACTTCATTGCATATGCATCTACCGTTTTAGCACCTTTAATAAAACCAACGAAATCTCATCCTCTGCCGCCACCAGTGTCATCAAAGCCCACGTTCGTCTATCCAGTGGCACAGTTCAGTCCACTATTAAAACCTGACGAATCCACAGAGTATCCTGCGGTGACAAAAATCCTTAGCCTTCTTTCAACATCCCCCTCCCTGGCCAACTCCCGCTGGCTATTTACAGCAGGCTACTTCAGCATTCACCCTGTTCTCTCGTCTCTGTTGATATCCAGCACATCAACAGCAGCAACCGCCATATCAAAAACTCAAGGAACTGTCCTGACTGCCTCACCCTGGGCAAACGGGTTTTATGGCTCGGCCGGAGTATCAGGAATGCTCCCAGCGGCATACACCCATCTATCTGCACGATTTCTGGATCGTGTTGCAGAGGCACAAAGAACTAACTCTATTCAATTGAAAGAGTGGCGACGGGGAACCGTCGGACAACCAGGAGGATGGACTTATCATGCAAAAGGGCTGTGGATAACTCTTCCCGAAGAAAAACACCCGAGCATCACTTTCGTAGGAAGCAGCAACTACACAAAGAGAAGCTATAGTCTTGATTTGGAGGTTGGGGCAGTCGTGGTAACCTCTGACGAAGCGCTGAAACGGAGATTGTCAAAGGAAACTGAATGGTTACAGAAGGATGCCAGTGCCATATCCCGGGAAGATCTGAGGAAGGTTGAGAGGCGAGTTGGGTGGAATGTGCGGTTATCTATGTGGATTGTGGAGAAGGTTGGGGGCGCGTTGTAGATCCAACAAGCCTTAGACGTCCTGACGGGAGTCTGCCACAATTGTATGTACATTATGTATCAAAAACTTTGGAAGACATTATTGTAGACATTTAGAGGAACGCATGTATAATATAAGTAACTAGTTTAATGCATTACTGCTATCATGCTTGCTGTCCGAGATTTTCCATCCATCGACATGTTTATAGGATCCCTTTTATCTATACCGATCTGCTAAATGCTGCGAAATGCTGCGAATAGAATATCGCGCCGAAACCAATACATGCACCGATTTGAACTACAGAACGCCTCGAATCCAATAAGTAAAATATGACCCAAACATGCAATCATTAGATCGAACCCAAAATAAGATAAAGAAAATGATAGGAAATCCCCTTAGACTTTCCCAGGCAACCTCGCCGGCCCAAGACCCTGCCGAATCTCATCCAGCATCCTAATTCCGACAACCTCATTTCCATTCTTTCCTCTCTTTCCCTTCGCCCCCTTCCTCTTAGCATGCACCCCACGATCATCCCAATCGTCTAAAAACCCATCCATGATCTGATTGAAATCCGACCGAAGCGGCGTCCCCCCGCTAACCAGGCTGGGTACTTTAGATACCGTCGACATCCCGCTGACCATAGACATGTCATCCGCCATGCTAGAGTCATCGTAGTCCTCCCCTTCTTCATCAAGCGAGTAGAGTGCTTCAATTCTCTCAAACCTGTCGTCGAGAAGGCGGTGTCCCTCTGTTCGCGCCAGTGAAGATGAGGTCATGGAATATGCCGATGGGTTGGTGAGTGCACCCTTGCGCTTCTTTCTGCGGACCGGGGTCCCGCCGGCAGTGAACATTGTGGATGCCACGGTTCCAGCAGGTAGCGCGGAGCCGGTATCTCCTTGCGTACCGGGCGCTGAAGGTTTTGTTTTCATATCCTTCTTGTATTGTGCGAAGTTGCGAAGCCAGTCTCCCTCTGCGGCAGTTGTGTCTGGGATTTGCTCATCATTTGTAGGTCCTTTGGAAGGTGGAGCTGCATTTTGCGTGCTTACACTTGGTTGCTCCGGTGCCTTTTCCGTTGCGTCAGATTCCCAGCCTTCACCGTCGTCTTCAATATATGTATCCCTCCATTCACTGGGATCTACTTCCGCATCCACCCCACCTTGCACTAGGGACTCAAACAAACCTCCATCCTCGTCGCTATCAACAAATGCGTCATCCTCAAGAGCTTCCAGAGTCTCTCTTAGTCGAGGGTCCATATCTGGCTGAAACCCAGCAATGGCATCGGGGACATCCTGTTGATCTTGATAGGTGGACTTCCTAGAATAAGTCGAAGCCGTGGAGAGAACATCATGCTCGTGAACCGACCTAAAATCCTCTACATCGTCCAGTGAAGTCTCCCTCAATGCATCCTCAAGTTTCATGCCTTTGGCCTTCCCTTTCCCCTTCATTGGCGCGGCTTCAACAAAGTGCGACTGTTCACTCCCAGCCCCGCCCAAGTCTCGCAAATGCTGCATATAATCATATTGTGAGTCATCGTAGTATATCCCATAGTTCGCCGCTTCTCCTTCATTCTTCCGGACTTGCGCGCCTTCAAATTCTTTCTCAAGTTCCGCAAGGACTTTGGAGGTTTTGGAAATCTTTGGAGCTGATTCCGTGATTGGAGCTCCGGATACCCTATGGAGGACTCTATCGTCCGCGTCTGCATCGTGTATCAGAGGGTCATTTTGCGATCTGTGAAAAAGTTGATAGGTGGTTGCGGATTTTTTGTCACTAGAGGCCGAGTAAGGAACAGTGTGTTAGCCATGCCCCCAACGCCCACCCTTCCCAGCGCAGGCGAAAGAGGTCTGTGAACTTACATCCATTGCCTGCGTGGAGGCATTTTGTTAAAATGTGTTAAACTAAGGTGACAAATTACATGGAATTCGCGGCTTCTTTGAAACGTGGTGACAACTATCGCTCTAGGTTGATTCTCCTGTTTGGTGCTCGAACAACATTTATCTTTTTGGCGTGTGCGATAACACTTGGCCACGTGATGTTCTCCATTGTTGGTGATTACTACATCTACCCTAATCACGTGCTACCCAACTTATCCATATCCATTAGTTTCACCTTAGATAGATTACACATATACATAATACAACAACATTATTCTCTAACAGGTTATGAAGCCCTTCTATGAATAACTGCTGATAACATGCTAATCACATCTTTACATATTATTTAATGTATCTCAATATCTCTTCGAATCTATAATTAATTTAAGATCTGATAGAATGCTAGATTTGATGAAGAAATATATATTAGTATAAAGAAAATAAAATCTGAAAGTACTGAAAGTATAACAGAGAATAACAGTTAACTTAATAATATTTATAATAAATAACTTTGATAATGATTTTATAGATTTAATTGTTTTATACATTATCAGAATATTAAATTAAGAGAATAATCTATATAATTTAACTTCTGTAAGTGAGATAAATTGTATAAAGATAAAGATAATAAAACTTTAATAGAAAATTAAATAAGTGAAAACTAGTAGAGTAGATAAGACTAGACTGATCATGTAACTATGTCTAAGATCAGAATCAGAATTTTTGATAGTTTTATTATCAATTCAACAGATCTCATTACACAGTTCTAATATTAGATAGTAGTCTTATACTGTCTCAGTGAGACTTACTGTCTACTCTTATCACATTTTTCAAATGAAATCATGATTTTCACTTCTCAATTTAAATTATTTTTATTGCTTTAAATGGCTTTAAATCTTATTTGAGTGTTATCAAAAAGTGTTACTTTTTAAAAAATTAAAAATAGTCTAAAAAAAACCTTAAAATGTCTAAAAATAGTAACTTTATATCAAGAATGAAACTAAATAAGATTAAATGAGATCACTTTCTCATTTTTTTCAAGTCATGATTTCATTTTGAGATCTGATATATAGTCACTTTGCATGTTTATTTAATGATTAGTCTCAGTGAAATTCATGTCAAGAAATATATGAGATCAGATTAAATAAGATTAAATGTGAAATTCATGATCTCAGCAATCAGTCTAGATAAGACTCTGACTAATATTAATAACACTGTTAGTGCAGATCTGATATAGTTTCTATAGAAATAAGAAAGAATATCTACTCTAATAAAAGTTTTAGAAGAATTTCAGAATTAGATTAAGTATATTAGAAAAATCAGTTACTCTTACAGACTCTGAGAACTATTTAATATAAAAGAAGAAATCTTGCTAATTACAAAGTAATCTTATATAATTAATATTATTAATAAGAAGTAAATCAGTTCTATGAAGAATGTAAGTAATAACAAGTAATGATTTTAAGAAGAATATAATATATAACTGTATAATTATATATGATTCATAATTACTTCACAGATAAAGTCTTATTTTACAGTATTAAAGAAATTTAAGCTATTTATCTATACTCTGTAAAAGATTATAAAGAAGAATTTCACTGAATAGTCTGCTATTAGAAGAATAAGATTCTATAGAGAAATTATTTATAAAGTGAAGTGAAGTAAATATATGATGAAAACTCTGATTATTAAAAGTGAAGAATTTTCTTTTTAAGATTCTTAGCATGAATACAGCTCACTGATTGATATAGAATTAAGTAAAGTGCAATTCTATAACATTGCACTATTATATTATCTACTGTTAAGAGTCTCAGAGCTCTTCTATCAACAGTGTTGATAATAACTGAGCTCTTTTATCTCAGTAGTCTATATCTACTCTGTACAGATTCTTAAATAATAGATTATATATCTTATTAACTATCTACTCTGTATAGATTCTTGAATAGATAATATATCTAATTAATAATTTACTCTGTACAGATTCTTGAATAGATAATATATCTGATCAATCATCTCTTATAGATTTTCAAGAATGAATAATGTATTAAAAGTCTGTATTTACTACTTATAAAATTAGTCTCTTAATTAATTTATTTCTTTACAGTGTTCTATTACTTCTACAGCTATCTATCTTCAATATCACACTTAGAGAACTCAGATATTATAATCTTCTCTTATTATATTTTTTCTATCACTGATTATCTCTTTACACTGTATAGAACTGTAAATAAATGTCACATCTCTGGCCGCGCCAAGGCCCTGCTGCGGTTTCATACAACTCATCACTTTCATGTGAATGATTTCATTCATTCTGCAGACTGACTGAACCGGTTTTCAATCACTCTATGACATCATTCAGATATATCATAGAAAGATTCAATTGATGAATATAAGAACCTCACTTCTATACAAGATCAGCAGATCACTCTTTCTTAACAATAAGATACTGCTGAAATATTACTTTGACTATTCTCACTTATAAAATGAGAGAAGAATATTCACTTATTATCTATATAAAATAGCTAGATGCTAGCTTCTTATCAAAGAAGTCAGTGATTTGTTTTATTTCTACTGAAATATATACAAGAGTTACTGTGTATCTTATATAATCTTCTTAGTATACTAAGTATTATATCTGTGATATTCTCACAATAACTCTGTAGCCTACAAGCTCACTATTTAAGCAAGATAGTCAAGCTTATTTATACAGCTTCTTAAAATAACTACTTCTATATAACACTGCTGACTAGTCACTGCTTCAGTTCTATTATATTACAATTCAAATCACTCAATCTGATTATATGTTTGAATCAGTCAAGCTTTAATAAACTGATATAATCTCATACATCTGTACTGAAACTGACCTGATCTTACTCTCTGAAGAAAACACTACATCATTCTCTAGAGTGTATATATCTCTATCTCAGCAGAAATCTGAGATTTCTGAACTTACTATATATTTTAATATAAGCTCTTCAACTGCTCTATCACTACTGCAGCCTCTACACATCTACATCTATTATAAAGATAGAGAGATTAAGATCAGAGATTCACTGAGATATAAGAGAAATATCTTATTTGAATTTCACAGCTTTATCTGTATTCTTGAACAGAAATTCTGCCTTAACCTGAGCTAGTATAATACTTATAAGATATAAGTAATATACACTGCTAACCTTCTTGAAAGCATCTCTGTAACTACTTGAGTTATTAAGAAGAGAGAGCTTGAGTGTATCAATACTGTTATAACTTGAGAAGAATTCAAGAACTTTCTACTGAATCAAATCAAAGACTACTGCAACTGTGACTTTACAGCAGTACAGTAGTTCAACTTATTACATTAATAAGATAATAAGAATTCTTTCAATTTCAATACAAGATTTGAAGAATATTAAGAGAAATTAGCTGATAATTTGAACTAATTAAAAACACAGCTTTATCTCACAAAGCTGACTCATAAGATGTGAATAATAATATCACAATATCAGAGTTCATTAATTAATTATACTGAGCTTGTTAATCTGACTTCTCAGATCTATTTGAATAATTAATTCTTTAAGAAAAAGATTAATAAGATCTCTTCTAAGTAATTAATAATGAGATCTAAATGACATTATAATAGCTTCAGTGTGAAGAAAGTAAAGAAGAATTTCAAGTATTCTGATTCTTCACTCACTGTGAAGAAATATTAAAAAAGATTTGACAAAGATCTCTGTTTCAACTGCAGAGTTAATAATTACTATATCAGTGATTGCAAGAAGCTGAAGAAGAGAAGAAACTGAGAAGATATCTTCTCAAAGTTAACTTCTCTTCTGACAAACATATTCATGAAAGATAAAGAAGAGAAAGAAAAGAATTAACAATTCTCATATCTTTAAGTTTATATTATGATTACAATGTATACTCTGAATGAAGAGATACTAGTGAGATGTCTACTTAACTTCAGAGTGAATATTAACTTTGTATTCTATTTCTTTTCTTTAATAAAGAGTTAAAAGAAGATAGATCTGTCAGATTATATGAAATTTACTGATGAAATAAAATATCACTGTTTTGACATAATTCAAGTGAAGTGTGTGATCACAGACTCAGAAGAAATCTTTAAGAAAAGCAGTCTGCTTCTTCATATAGTTAATATTATAGATAAGAATATTATTCTAGATCTTCTGTGATTAAGAGAAAACAATTCTCTCATTGACTGAGTCACTTAGATATGATAGTACTGCCTTACTGATGAAGAGACAGTGATAGAGAAATCTGAAGAGTTTTATTAGAAGAATTGTAAGAATAAGTGCTCGCAGGCAATTATTCAGGTGTTTGCAGCTTGGCGTGATATGTACTGTTAACTACTAGAAGTATTCATAATAGAAAGATAAAATGTAGAGATCAAATGTATAATAGCATTTAAGCTGAGTTATGAATAGTATTCATGAACTTCAGTCTATATAGTTATGTGTAGTCAAGAGTCACTAGCTCTATTGATTATATAAGAGATAGAAATAGAGATAAAGAATCTGTGAGAAGTGAGATTTCTTACATATTCTCTTCTCTCTAAGGCTTTGTCTGTGAAGCCTTTCACTGAGTGACTTTATAGTCAGCTCAACACTGCAGTGATACTCACTAAAAACTCTTCATATCTATAAAAAACCTCAGTGAGGAAAAATTCCTTGTTACTGTGAAGAGAAAAGAGTCTGTCACTCAGTTTCTTATTTCATAAAATTCTTTATAATCTACAGATTCTTCTCTGACTATCACACAGATTCATCTTATATCTTTCATACAGAAGAGTTTCAGTTGACTCTCAATTATTTTCACAAGATTCTTGTGTAATCATCATACAGATTTATCTTACAGATGAATCACTCTCTGTGAGATTATTCTTATCAAAGAGAAATATTCATAAGTTAATCTTTCATTCATTCTCACAAATCATTGCTCTTTGATACTGTAGAATTGTGAGGAATTTTTCATTCTTTTATTAACTCTGTAGAATTATAGAATCAAGATATTCACAGTCTGCAATCACTCTTTATAGTTATATAGAAAGATTCAGATCTGTGATTCATAATCACTCTTATTTACTAGAGTGATCTGACTGTTCTGTGAGATTACTTACAGTGTAAGTAAATCTCTCTAGAGTAGTATAAATATTTCAGATCTATTTATAAAATCTT